CGTTAAAAATATTGTCGATTAGTCGCAGTCTGCTTAACCAGAGAAAAATGCACCATGATTTCCTTTTATTTTTTTCTTGCTTATAAATAATGTCCTTCATACATTGCAATGGTGTAGTGCACGACCGAGAAAATTATATTACTTCATGCTGGATGAGTAAGATATATCAGGCTATTAAAAGCTGAATTAAATCAAGGCAAAAAAGAACATAAGCAACAAAACTGGTTGGGCGCAGCGATAGATAAAAATGGCGGGCTTTGCTGGCTGAATTGGGCAAAGAATAAAAGATTACGGATTAGTTGCAATCTGCTAAACCGGCGCCAAAGCACAATAAAATTCGATAAGACTCAGTTATGGATCATTACTCGCCAAAGTGCAGAGAATAAAAGACTGTAGATTAGTTTCAGTCTGCTGAACCGAGATAAAAATATAATTATTTTTGATTACAAAACATATTGTCTAAACGTATATAAATAAGTCCAGCGAAAAAGGCCAGCTCAGTTGTCACTTGAAAAAATCACGTCGCGTTTGGTCTTCTGGTTGTACGGTTATTCTGCAAAAAGTATGAACGGCTTCGTCCTTGCCTTGGTTCTTCTAGTTACCCTTTGCTCGGCCGCCAGAGTGCCATTTCTGCGTGACACTGAAGGTAGGAACACTTACTTTCAAGGAAGAAGAGTAGTAGAGACTTTAGTGCCCTCCGTGCCCACATAATCGGCCGAGTTGGCGCCTTTCGATCGAAAGACTCAAAGTCCACTAGAAGTGAAGAGGCTCCAAAAATTTTGGCTCTCTATGAGGGTTTTGAAGCAATAATCTCGATTAGTTTGAAAATCCCCCAAAAAAATAGTAAATCTTGCATTTGTACTCTTCTTTGTTTTCATCCTACCGATATTTTGTTGAGCATAGGCTGAGAACTTTTTGGCGCGATTCAAGTTAGTTGAAGAAGGAAAATAAACTAGCTACTGCATTCCATTCTTCTGGTTTAAATTTTAAAGCGGATGTTTACCTTGTTTTTAAAAAACGAATTGTTTCTGTGAGTTGAGACGTTTTGCGCGCGAAAATCGCGGAGGTTTGCGCGCCTTTTTTATGCACAGCAAAAATTAGCTATCACACAGTTACCAGATATGCATAAATGTTCTGACACAAAAATGATGACCTTAAATTTTAAATCATTGCTGTGAACTGAGAAGTTTGCGCGCGCCCGAAAATTGGTTCAAGAAAAATAGTTCTCTAACTTGCCTTCTATTAACGCCTAAAAGGATCAAATTCTTCTATTGAGAATTTTTCCTGTTGTTGCTGTGATCTACATTTATCTGCTATTATTTAATCGTTCAGAGTTTCCTAACTGGTAGAAAACGATCTCCGAGGTGTCTACAGCCAGCTCTTGCGAAATTTCAAAGAAATGAGATGCGTCCCTAAGTGGAAAATTTGAACCTAGCCTGGATGGGGTGGGGCATTTGAGTCCAGCCTTTCCAGCGTAATACATGTATTTTAATGGCAGAGGGGCGAAGAGTGTGCCTTTATGAGCGCATGGCCAAGAAAAACAACTTTTACAACGTAGAAGGATTCTTGCAAGCGAAAATCCACAAAGCGGCGCCAAAAACTAATATATTTCCTTGCTAAATTTTGCAAAATTCGTTGGTTTCACACCGAGTCGTTCAATATTGGGTTGGGCATTTGAACGAAATGTGTCGGCCCGAGGAGGGAGGGGGGTTGCCCCGAATTGATAGACGCATAATTCCTAACCGTGTTTTAAACTCCTCATATATCATGCAGTCACCACACGTTTAATTTTTTGAGATAAAATTGATTGCCTTTTGATTCCACTCTTGATTTTCTCTTTTAAAGATGAAACAAGAAGCTTTCTGAAGCAAAGGGATATCTCAGGTAAATCAGTGCATTGATGTAAAATAAACCTATTCTAGTTTATTGAGTATTTTAAGAAGAGCGAAATCTGGGCAGGTGAGAAAGCCTCCTATCAAGGGAAATTGTGTTGCAAAAGATATACAAAGGTACCGGTCATTATTGATCACCTGAGAGGGGATTGGAGGATTTTTTTTGTGTTATGGTAATCTTAACTGATTTATTCCCTCTAAGGCTCTGTATTATTCTCATAATTTCCTCTTATTGGCAGTTAATTAGCAGTCGATTTTCTACAGTCCTCCACTTTATACTCTGTTAGCGATAACAGATCACTCCTCTGTTCTCCCTAAAAACCACGTGATCCCCCAAACTCCTTCATACACACACTTGTGATTTCAAATCAACTTTCGCTATGCGCTCGTACGATTTTGGTAATCCCGTGTCTAATTTCAGATCAAATTGCATCGGCCTAGTCTCTTCAATTACCATTATTTATTCTCCCTCTTTGTTTGACTTTTCAGAGTTACATGAAATTCAAATGGACGGATCTATTTGGAAACGCAGTGAACGTGAGTTGAATTTACTCTACCTAGGATTTATTGATTTTAATTGTCTACACTCAGTGATTCGTCGAGAAAACCCACAACACTTCGTTATAAATTTACCAAACGGGTGCTAAACTAAAAAAAACTGAATCCGTTGAATTCCAAATTTATTGATCAGTTCATCAATTTATCGATTATAATCTGTCAATCAATCAGTCAGTCTGTCAATAGGTTATTACGCAGTCAGTCAATCAAAAATATACACAGACGAACAAAAAACACGTTGCGAAGAGTTTTATCTCCATTTCAATTTTTTTTCCTAAACATGATTTCTGCGTTTATTTTACAGCAAGCATTTGCCCTCACTGCGCGTCGCTGGGTCCTGGATGCTACTGTAACTACAGGAACAATTATTGCCTTGCTTGGGGTTGTGGTACCAGCGGACAATGCGATGATAATAACTGCATTCAGAGCTAGGTATAAAGAGCTTTCACTAAACTATGGTTTTAAAGAAGTGAGTTATGCAAGCGTAGATATCTGGATATCTCTTTAGTTGATTTATATCACCCCTAGGAATGGTACCAACGAATAGTGAAATAAGACTATAACATCAAGAAGAAGAGCATTTCACTCAAACTTGAATTTTACCAGGAAAGTGACATGTTGATTTGGGCAAAGCCAAAATATTTAAAAATAGAACCCAATAAGTTCATTTTCAGAGCTCCCCGGCCCTCCCCTAAATACGCACGGATAAGTTATTCAGCAAACAGGTGATCAGATCACACGAACTTGTTAGCCAAGAAGAGAGTGTTATCTTGATCCAATATATAGTTCTCCTTACTACTTAACAAGGATGTTTAGCTGCTTGTAGAGAGAATTACAAGCCACATCTTAGAAATGAAATGGCTAAAGGTTATAAACGGGGCGTGAGTGGAGCTACATTTGACCTGCAATAGATACGTTGGTTTACCTTGATTATAATGCTGAGTGAATGTCTATTAATCTCTGATTAATAAATTAAATTTTCTCGCTTGTTAGGGACATTGTCAATCGTTGAGTCAAGCGTTCTGTCGAAGATATCGATGTTTAGACTGCCATACTAGAAATCTTCGTTGGGGGAGTGGTACCATATGGTAGTCTAGACCTCACCATCAAAAATTGATAGCTAGGAGCTCATGAAACCACCCATGTATTCACTTAAATGACGACGGATGCCTATTTTATAGTATAGAAATCATTGAACTATCCATAATTGTTACTGTTCTTTACGCTGGTATGCTCATAGTCTTTGTTTCCTCCATCAGGTGGCATTTACGTGGAGAGTTTCAGCCTGATTTCAATTCCCTTATGAGAGGGAATCGCACTTAGCACCAGCGTGATTGTAATCAGAATTTGCTTCCATTTCTTGATTTTTGTTGGTTTGTTTGATGGCTGTAGATGTAGAGAATTTCAATGAAGAACATTAAAAGTGTGTCATTGCAATGAAGATGATTTTTAGCAATTTTTCTTTTAACTTTTTTTTTTTTTTTGTCCCAAGCATATTCTAATATTTAGGAAGGGACGCCAACAACAGTAGATTGATAATGACCTGCCAAACTGCATGTTCGGCACTTAATTAGCGAAATTTCCAGCACAGTCATTATGGGGTGCGGGGAAGGGGGACTTTGAAATCCTTGTCTATCAGGATTGGCTCTGAAAACTTCGAAACAAGCGAACGTTATTTCGTTTCCAGGCAATATGATTGTGCATCAAGTTCTACCATAAACTTTTTATCCTCCCTTGAAGATATTTGTCCTTGCTTCGCCATTTTTCTCCCTCAATAAATTATTTATTTAGTATTTCCTGATAAGTTGATTAATTCTGATGATATTTGTGGAAAAAATGGCGCGCAAGGTCACTTTAACCTGTTTCAAATCATCTAACCTATAGTCCACGTTCAATTGAGACCATTACTTTGTATCTAGGCAACAATTTCCACTAGAAAACTTTCATTAGAGTGGCGTGATCAGTGGTATGATATGCTCTTTGGACGTAATAGCAAATCACCAATATATTTTTACAACAAAAGGCTCATACAGTATTTGCATATGTACCTTTTAGAAAAAAAACACCTTCGGCCAAAATAATTTTTGTCGAAGGTTTTCATGCCTCCACACATTCACTCTAAAATGTTTTAATCACCGGCTCTAGTACTCCTTCAGGCAATTATTGATTTCCGAAAAAGGTAACTTTTTTTTTTTTTTAAATTTTTTTTCTAAAGTAGGATTGGCTTACCGAGATACGTTCGTTTTTCCGGAGGGAGGTTGAAGATCAATGATCAATTGATCAAATCTCATTAGCCTCGACCGATCGGTCCGTAAAGTTCATCGCTAAGCAAGAAAAGGTATTTTGCTAATTTTCTCCTCTGTATCATTTGATTTCCCGACTTTGTACAATTGCACTTGCGATTTTTATAAGAAATTTGGCTCCGTAGCGGAAAAAAGGAATATACTATTTACGTCGAGTTGTTTGCAAACAAAGAAACAACTGCTCTACTTGAGCGCTCGGCCAATGAATTTCAAATGAGCCGTGTCGATTTGTCAGCGGACGACGAACATGGCGGACCAAGAAGATGATGAGTCAGACTTTGAACGACAAGGAAGTACAGAACGGGAAAGTTTGAGTACTGAAAGTAGTTACGACGAAAGCCCTTTGAGTCCAAGGAGTGAAGATTCTGATTGGGGTTTTGGTGCAAATGAAAACTCAGTATTTACAAATGGATTCGACCCGGAAAAACAACGCAGCGAGTTAATAAAAAAAGCTTCGATCGTCGACTGTCTTTTGTTTGAAATTTACGACCAGTATCACAGCAGAGACTCAGTGGATAGTGACAATGTTACTGAGTGTTCTACGACATCGGGGAGTTTCTACGGCGGTTCTTTCGACCTCGAAGAACGCGGCGAACGGTGGACGAAAAGCGAACTTTCCGCGAAAGGTTAGCAACAAGACCTTCAATTGCTCTTGTAAAATTACCAGCTTAAGTTTGAATGCAGTTTGACTATTTGCATTGGTTTTCCATTTTATTTTGCTGTATAATATTGAAATCAAGAAGTCAGAGTAAAATTTCCAGTTAGAAAATGAGGACAGAAATTTATCCTTGTCCTATTAATTTTACATTGGCGAATATCGGACACTATCTTGTGTTTAATGCTGTTTAGTACTAGTTGTTTTTGAAGGATAATACCCAGCAAGGGTCGCAACATCAATATCAAAGCGTAATTTGGTTTCCATTTGAGTCTCAGAATTGGAAATTTTTCTTAATGGTAAGCATTTGTACAGGTGATGGTTTTCAATTTGCTGTTTATATTTCTGTTTTAATTTTTTTCTGCTCACAGATACAGATGAGCTTCGAATCATGGCAAAGGAGATGCGAACACGAATATCCATGCTTTCGACAAAATTAGTCAAACAACTTAAACGGAGGGATAAGCACGCTTACAAACTACAAAGAAACTTTGATGTTTTAACTGCTATTCTTCAAGCGGTTTCGTTGAAAAGACGTAAGTATTTGACCTTCCCACACGCAACGCCTGAGAATTTTTGTTAATCGATTTATGATCATTAATTGCTTGTTTGCAGCGCTTTAATTTTGGGAAATATTCATCCAGGCAAGAGTAAACTTCTCAAAGAAATCGAAATTTTCCAAAACTAGCTCTCTTTGTTGTAAATTATCTACTTTTTCCTGATTTTTTCTGAGCAGATATCAATCATAGTATTCTGCGTAAATTTAACAACTGCTCAATTTTCATAACAAAGGTCGCTGTTTGCTTTAAATAGTCCAAGCTAGGATTCTGTTGAAGTTTGTATCACAATCGCTTTTATTATGGGTAAATCTTTTTTGGCAAATTTTTCAAAATTCTTAACACCTGAACACAGCGTGATGTTCTAGAAACAGCCATGAAGATTTTTCTTAGGTGTTTTCAATGGCATGGAGCTATGTTAAAAATAACCTATTGATACCTTGTGAAATCTATTGCATTGCAAATTGCCTGACACGTCGTATTTTTGGCCTGAAAATGCAAAATTATTCATTGATCAATCATGATTTCTTTACATCACAGTTGATGACCCTTGAAATTTTTACAGGTTCTGTATTTCTATTGTTAGATGGAGATATTTAGATACTGCCTTTGTCCCTGGTGACTTTGAAGTGAATAGAACAAATAGTTCCTACTGTGTGTTGTGAAGATCATTATGAATATTCCAATTATCCAATCAGCCTCAAGTAACCAACAAATTGTTCCGTTTCACATTTGGTAACAATCTCAGCATCATTCTTTGAGATGCAAATTTTGCCAAATTGTTAAGATTTACACCTCTTGAAAAGAGCTACATTTTAAAAAATTGTTAAACTGTAATCAAGTTACCAGAATAAGATTGACAAGCTTTTTAATCAAGTTTCCAGAGGCTTTTAGGACATAGACATTTTAGACAGGCATGTCACTGTTAGTACCTTTGTTTGATTTTTGCTGTACTGTTGGTTTTCTTTGAATGAAGATCTGCACTGAGCAGACCAGACACAGAATATTCAAGAATTTAAGAAATATGCTTTATGAGAATGTCTCTGTGATATTGTATTTATCTTGTACTTTGAATATTACTATCACAGTTGCTATGCTACAGCTGTATTGAGTTCAGTGAAATTTCATTTGGTTTTTAAATGATATTGGCAAATCTTGCTTTTTGCCCATAGAAAATTTGATGTGCTCTTTTAAATGTGCAATTTTCTCCTTGAGTTTTACTTGGCTAAATCCAAAATGTAGAAGTGGTCAGAACAATTGGTCCTCTTGATTTTAAGTAATTACCACTGAGAGTAAGGTGTGGAATTACAGAAACTTTATTCAGAAGTTTGTTGAAAATCACCACTTTTTTAAAATGCACCAGATAACAACAATGCATGTTTGGAAAGTTTTTCTGTAAATCTTTTGTTGTAGAGGGATTTCCCTCAATGCAGGTTCATATGGAAATACCAAATGATTTTGGTATTTCAATATTTAATTTTGGTTTCATGCATAAATTAGTTAATAATGGTACTTATCTTGTTTCAGACAGTTTTTGCTAGACCCTTTTAGGTATGTGGTCATGTGGTTTGAAATGGGTAAATCAAAATGACTGCTCAAGTAGGTGCTTCAGACGACATCTTATGGTTGAAACTACTTCCTCTCTTGTGGAAATGTTCATATTCACATAAAAATCAGCCTTAAATCAGACTCTGCTAGAATAGAAATTGGTGACAAAAGAAATGGAGATAGTTATGCAGAGCGTAACACCTCGAGCTGGAGAACAAACTTTTGAGCACACAGTCTCTAAAGATCACCAAAAAATATATGACACAGGCATAAAAACAAAGAAAATGTATCAGGAAAATAATTTTTATGCTGATTTTGTGATTTATGGTTAGAATGAAGCTATATTTTGTCATAAACTGTAATTTTTTTTGTTTTGCATTGATTGTATGCTCTGGTTATGACTGTGAGCCAATCAAAGTTTTTAAAACAACTAACAGACTGGGTCTGATATTTTTCTGAAATTTTAAGCCAAAAAAGTGAAATTTTTGAGAGCAGCTACAATCAAAATTTGGAGCCTTTTTTAATCCACTCTCCACCTCTATTACATAATGTTTAACAAACGTATTTTAGAAAATGGAGAGCATACCTATAATCATGATCAAATTAATTATGCTAATGACAATATTTGAGCCTCCTCTGGTTTCTATTGTTATTATTGTTGTTATTATTATTATTATTATTATAATTATTATTATTAATAATAGGTGATATCACATACATGTACATGAGTAGTAATGTTGTATTTGATTCTGTAAAATCCCACATTGCATCATAGATGTACCTTTAATTTTTTTTTTTTTTTTACTGTGACTTGGTTGTATGATTCACTTATTTGAATGATAAATGTCTTTTGGGGGTGTCCTCAAAGGTTTTCCAGACTTGATGTCATTTGTGATGTTTTGTTGCAAATTGTTTACAATTTTGAGGATTGAAAATTTTTTGGTGTTTTATGAAACAAATTTTTGCTTTGGAAGAAAATGGATATTTCTTCTGAGCACCAATTTTTGTGATATTTGGATATTAAACAGTGAAACATGAACATGGAATGAAACAATGTCTAATGCTATGGAGGTCTACAGAAATTAAAGTTTTGACAATTAAAAAAGTGTCTCTTTTGTTGTCTCTTTTTAGGTGTGGATACTAAAATCAGGTTTTCCTTCATCCCTCAGTCTGGAAAGAAGGCATTTAAACATGTAAGTAGTGACGACTTTTTTGTGACAGTTTTCTTCAGTGGTTTTCTTTTACAAACAGTGATACTTTTTTCCTGATAGTGGCTTGCTGCATTCAAAGCCATTGCCAGACTTAAAGAAGGTGTCCCATCACAGTGGAGAAGGAGGGTGAGTTAACCTTTACTTCCTAGTTCCCTCCAGAGTAAATTAACTGAATCCTTACTTCTATTTTGTCCAACAAAAGTCAACTTGATTTTTTAGTGCATTTGCATCAATTTTGATAGAGTTAGTTTTATTGTCATTATGTTAATCCCTCACTTTGTTTTGTGAAAAAACTTTTAGCAAATTTGCAGCCAAAGTTCATTCAAAGAAGCAAAAGGTGTTTACAAGGCAATTTCAAAAGTGATGTTTTATATTTTCTCCCAACTTTTGATGCCATTGAACTTCCCACGTCTTACATGTATACTCAAGTTGCACCCATTTTTTTGATGACTCCCATCTGTCAGTGCATCAGATTTTAGTGTTTACTCATTTTGTGATTTTATTGAATATAAAATCCCTTGTTCTTGCCTTGCTTTTGCTCTTCTCTTTGCTCCCATACTGTTAAACTGCATCTGTGTTATAGTTAGGAAACATTTTTCAGGGGTGAAAGTGAAGTAATCTATTTTAAGATACACTTGTAGTATTTTTTGTAATGAGTAACACTTTCATTGTCAGTTATGGCTGTGTCTTGCTGAGAGTAAAATAAAAGATTTGGATTGGGAAAAGACAGCTAAATTTTGCTTTAATGAGAGGAGTAATCCTGATGATGATGAGCTAGGATCACAAATAGTAAAGGTAAGAATTTATGACAGAGAAACACACTGCAACAAATTCACATATTGACATTCCTGTCCTAGCAGTATTCAGGAAGTTTGTCACCATGGACCTATAGTTAAACTGCTTAGTCTGCAATGGGTTTTCTTTAGCTCACTGGTAGAGCATCTGCAGCACTAATCAGAAGGTTGCACATGTAGGTTTGACTCCTATTGAGACTAATTGGAGTTCTTTTTCTCCAAGTTTGCCTCTGTCATTCAATGAACAACATATTTCAAATTCAAATAACTTAGAGCTAGCTAAGCGCAAGTGTTGTGGTTCATTGAGTGATCTTGTTCTCACGAATTTAAAATGGCCAGTCAATAAGACAAGATGTGAATTGTATGGCAGACATGCACAGGGTAATATTTCATGATCAAGGCATAAAGGAAGTCTTGATTTTATAAAAAACTAATTTTTGCAGTGTTTATCAGTTTACTAGTGTTTACTACAGTTTTGAGCTTTTAATTTCTACATAGAATGGAATTTCTACTAGTTATCTAGAAATACATGTATCACACTGTAGATGGAGTTGTCTTCCTTGATCTGTATTTTTCAAGGTCGATGAGAGATTTTTAAACCGTGTCCAATTCAAGTTGGCTTTGCTTCATAAAGTATGTAAAATGAAGAATTAGTAGAGGTCCACTGAGAAGTCTACCCAATCATTACTTTTTGCAGTCCTAATAATGTGTAATTCAATGATTCAGAGTGAAGCAGTATTGTTAGTGTATGCCCACAAGTCAGTGTGGCTGATAGATGATGTCACATGTACATGTACCCCACATATTGTATCATTAATGATAACTACCACACAATATTGTTTAGGATCTTCATCGAACTGGCTGCAGCTGGTTTTGTGGTCAGGATACTCCTGAGGAAAGAGCATCACTAAAACGCGTTCTTTTAGCTTATGCCCGACGCAACAAGGCTGTGGGTTACTGTCAAGGATTCAATGTCATTGCAGCATTAATTCTTCAAGTCATGGACAGAAATGAGGAAGACGCACTGAAGGTACATCTATAATTAATTGCTAATAGTTTTTATTTTGTTTTGTTAAGGTTTTCCTTACCCTTTTCCATCTTAATCTTATCGACATGTTTGCAAGGATACATGAACTATCAGTTTTTCCAGAGCTTTGGAAATGAACCTTTTCATTAACTGCTGGGAGTGACCAATGCTTGATGTCCCTTTACAAGAGTGACAGGGTTGAAAAAGTTAGCATTTTAGAAAGTAAATTGTTGTGAAATGTTACAATCTACAATTTCTTTTTATAGGTTATGGTTTATGTCATCGACCACGTACTTCCCACAAACTACTTTGCAAATAACCTGCGGGCACTTTCTGTCGACATGGCTGTCCTGCGTGACCTAATGAGGGAGAAGCTAGAGAGGCTATCAAAACACCTGGATAGCTTACAAGCACAAGCCTTGTCACAGAATGGTTCCAATGCCATGTACGAGCCTCCTTTAATTAATGTTTTCACCATGCAGTGGTTTCTGACACTGTTTGCCACTTGTTTGCCGGAGGAGACTGTTTTGCGTGTGTGGGACTCCATCTTGTTAGAGGGCTCAGAGGTGCTTCTTAGAGTTGCTGTTGCTATTTGGGGTAAACTTGGAGAGTATGTATCGAACTATTTCTTGGTTTATTTAGGTTTACTTGTATTCAGTGAAGATTTATGTGTAGGTTTGTAATTCATTCACCCTCCCGCTCCCTCACGTCCACCGGTCAGTCAAGTACAAAGAAGGTGCATGTGTAAATATGTACCTGTTAGCTAAAATATTTATCGGAAACCTCAAGTTTCCTGTCATAATTTAATATGAATTTATCTAAAAAAAAAAAAAGAAGAAGGCAAAAAATCTCCGATTATCCTTCATGCAAACCAAAATGTAGAACGAATTGAAATAATATGGGATGAACTGTAAAATTCTACTTTAATTTGCCCTTTTCAGGCAAGAACGGGGGATCTCTGTTATTTCCATTTACGGGAGGGTATTTGCGGAGATTTAAGAGACATAATTCATTGCCGGTTGACGGGCGTTAAGAATGAAAGGAATCGTACGCGCATAAGTCCTATACCAAGAGCACTTTCCAAACCACATGTCGGGTGGAAAGTTTGACTTTTCAGGGAGTGTTATGGTAACTTGATAGGGATACAGTTTTGTTATACTTCCTTTCCCTATGATTTTTTTCTAAATGTCATACAACCACCAAGATGTATTCTCCTCCTCTAAAAGGTTATGTAGCAGTGTGTTAACACAGCACTTTAAACCAAAACAGCTGCGCACTCGAACGTCTCTGATATTAGCTGTCTGACTCAAAATATTGATACAGCTTATTACATTGGACACTATTTCTTCCATCAGGCGCCTTGAACACGTGGAAACTTCTGATGATTTTTACAGCACAATGGGGGTACTAATACATGATGTGCTGACTGGAAATGTCATTGATTGTCAAACGTTAATGCTGGTATAAACACTTAGCTTACGGTCCGATTTTAATTTTTAAGAGTATACTCACCGTCATTGAAGTTTCTCACTTTTTTGAAGACTTTTTCTCCGGCGAAAAAGCGTCAAACTACGGTGGCCCACAATTGGGTTTCTACTCTGTGTTTAAAATAAGGGAGAACACCGTATTCTTCCTTGAAAGAAGTAAATGTCACTTTTGGAAGTTTTTAAATCGACAATTGTTGGATTTGGATTCATCGATTTCTGATTCGCATCGCATTCAAAACCTTGCTAGACGTTATCGATTGAAAAATTGTCGTAAAGAATCGCCTTGTGGTGCACTATTCTAAATGATACCAATTTTTAGCGCGGAAGTGTGGCGTTAAAATGGTTAAAATTAAACTATATTGCTATTTGTAGGAGGTGTACGCCTTGGCTCCGTTTCCCTTACCAGGGTTAGCAGAACTTCGAGAACAGTACACGTACAATATCAACCCGTTTTCAGACGCTACCGGCGATCGAGGTCAGCGATCAGCACTAGGACGCGGTTCTAGCGATGAAGAAGACGACGTCGATGACTTGGAAGGGATCGGTTGCTTAGGAGCTCTGTTGCCGTTCTCGGAATTTGCCCCTGGAAATAGCACTAAAGCGCTAGGTGCCGGTGGCGAGGATTTGAATGACATTGCAGCTGCTAGTCCGGGCGTGTTTGCTACTGATGGTTACTCTCCCCTACCATATACCACGAAGCAGTTTGGTTCAAGAGGACGCCGTGTTCATCAGGAGATGACCTTCTTACAGAAGCAGTATGCAAGGATGAGGCAGATGCAGCAGAATGCTGTAGTGGTGTTTTCAGAGGCCACAGTACAGAACATACAGGAATCTGAAAAGCGCAAGAGCATTCCTGCTGCTATTAATCATCTGTTTGTATCAGCAACTAAGAAAAAGACTAAGACTGCTCGAAGTCATTTCGGAGTCAAGAAGGAGAACGAAACGAATGCTAGTGAACGGTTATCAGTAGGAGATGTGGTCAGTTCTAAGACTGAGACCAAAGTGGAAGTGAAACCAAACGCTTATGAGAAGGAAAGCATGCAGCATTTGAATGAGTTATTCAAAGGTGATCAGAAGGAAAAGAAAGAAACCAAACAGCTTTCAGAAGAGGAAAAGGCTCCAGAGGCGAGTGAAAAACACGTTAAAACTGATAGGACAAAGGAGATTTCTATGAAGAAAATTCCAGAAGAGAAGAAAGAACAAATTTCTGAGGAGAAACCGGCCAAAAATGTTAAGCGAACTACTCCAAACACGCGTAAAATTCAACATGTTGGATTAAATGGTGAAGTATCGTCGTTAGAAACTGACAAACCAACGCAAAATAAACCGCTTCTGTCTGGTTTGAATGCCAGTCGTAAATCCACAAAAGTTACGGTAGTTGAATCTTCGTCATTAAAAGTAACTGCGGCGAACAATGATAAGCCAAAACCCGTGAGGGTAGTGGACAAAAACAGCCCTGCTGTTCTTGACGCAGGCGCAGTATCGTTCGGTGGCACGGGACGAGTATACACCCGCTCGTATCACGGGTCTGGTTATAACTCCAATAACAGTTCTTGGCTGTTGGAGGAAGACAAGAGGTGCAAGTATCCCGAGAACTTCAGACCTTTCCCTCAACGAAACAAGCAGCCAAGTAGAAGCAGGATTCTCTACGGAAACATGTCGGAAAAGGGCGCCAAGCGAATGGACGCGTTTCAAGGGAGGAAGGAAACTCGACAGGGATTTAACAACGGACTTGCTGTTAATAGTGCTTCGGATAGCAAACGAAGTTAGCCGTTGAACTCTCTTTTTACAACGGTATTCGAGAAACTACTGGTGTGCCGCGTGAGTAGACCGGATTACAGGTACTAAGGAGACTGCCTTATTCATAAAGTGTCAAAAACGATGTGTTGAGTGGAAAATTTTGAGAATAGCAGTGACTGGGAACAGACCCTTATATAAAACTACCGTTAAATTTGAATTAAAACCCCCTTATTTAAATCTTCTTCGTTACCGATAAGGTTAGACAGCAAAACGGACCTTTTTTTATGACAGTATGAAAGTCTCAGTCATCGTACGAAAATGATCTTCCCGTTTGGCTCACATAAATCTCAGTCTTAAGAGCAATATGGCTGACCAAAAGTTTATAATAATTATAACTTAATCATTGAATAAAAATAAGAATTATATAACATAATATAATAAACTGTAACTGTATTTTTTGAAAAAGTACATTTTTGAAAGGGAAATACGTAATGGAAAGTATTCAAAGTTTTGATACCAGGCGTAACTGTTATAACCTTTATACTCCTAGAAGTGATCGGTACCTGTATTCTCCAGTAACAAGCAGCCGGGCAATGAGAATTTAGAAACTGATCAACTAGGGGTTTTGTTTTGTTTGTGTGTAACTCCAAATTCTCCTGACTAGCCAACATAATTTGTATTGTTATGAGTTCACTTTCAGATCTTGAAAGTTAACATTTTATTATGGATCTTCTCAAATATGTAATTGTCTGGCGTCAAATAATATTTAAAGACTTTGAGTTACCGTAGCTAAGGGTAGAATAATTACCATCTTGCATCAATGGGAACTGTAAAATATTCAAATTCATTGTAAGATGAGTATATTTTTAAAGGTGTAGAACGGTTCCGTTCCCTGGTTACTAAATCTTTATAAAGTGTATATAAAGTGTAAGGCTCTAATTTAATGGATATTTAAGAGAATTCCAGTCCTTTTAAAGAAGGTGCTAATATTTAACGATAAGATAGCAAATTACGCATTGGTCATAGATACGTTAGTCTTACTTGCATACAAAACATATATAACATGCTCTGTTGCAGAATTTCACTTCGGTCGTCATTGAATGTGTGTTAGTCGCTCTCTGGCGTCCTTGAAAATTCCTATTTTGGCATATTTGTACCTGTAACCCGTGAAACCTATAATTTGTTTCAACACTTGCTAGGTTGGTTCATTCGCTCTTTAAGTTGATTGCTTTCCATTTTTTCAGCGCGGGCTGGGAGGGCTCTCGCGTTTTTCTTGCGTAGTTACAATTTCTCCAGAACGTGAGAGCTCCTTTGCGACCGATTAAGAAGCGGGCTTTACGTATGTTAACAGCTACTCAAGGTTTGCACTCGTTAATCCCTGTTACCCGGTGATGAGGTAGATAATGAGTTATTTTCAGCACAAGAGTGGATAACACAGTGATGCTACAACCCCTTGAAACCCATATGAAGAGACAAAGTAATAAATATTTATTTCCTCGAGTGGCGTGACTGTCAAGGCTGCAGGTGGACCTTGTTAGACCTCGTAGGATTTGTTGCTGTTATGGTGCATAAAACACATTTGGTGAAAGTAATAAAATACGAAAGATAACCGGTTACAATCTAATCAAGCTAAATTAGTAGATGTCTGCGAAAGAATACAAACTGACATCAAACTGAAAAATCCAATTTAACTGTTTTATCACGGTCCAACTCAAAATTTCGAGATAACTTTGAAATGTGGTTATTTGTTGACAAAATGTTCGCAATACTTTCTCATTGTCTTGATAGTAGAGTTCACACGAACCCTTTTCTTCCCCCGTCTTATTTTCCATTTTCAGTCTATAACAATCCATTGAAAATCCCTGCAAATGCGTCTTTCTCTTCGAAGTCTTGTTCACAGCTGTAATGGGTAAAAGCGGGGTAGTTATGGGTCGGAAAGCAACACTGCTCGCCATTACGAAGTCAAATATTTTGCTATGTATAACTTCATTTCTTTAGGTCAAAAAAATCGGTAACCGGAAGTCATGTTATTGATAAAATTAAACCCAGTTAATATTTCAAAGATTATCATAATAGCTTAGGCCTAACAACTTTGATCGTTAATGAATACAGACGTTGCAGAAGCGTGTGGCTTACTATATGCCTTTGCAAGTGGAAACCTACCTCTCAGAAGACTTAGAACAAAAGAAGGAGGCAGAACAGGGACTAAAATAAAAGAAAAAAGGTTAAAAGTTGATTTTACAGAATCGTCAAACATCTTCACGTGTGGCAATGATAAAATATAAATGTCATCGGATTAGAGTTAGAGATGCTTCCTTATTTCATATTTTCTCCTTCACGAATAATGCGTTCATGCTTTCAGACAATTTCTTCATTTTTCTACGCGCATCTTTTAGTTTTGGGTCACAAACGAATCAGTACAATGCAAATACGATACCTTTGCTGATATCGCTGTGCGCACTCATCTTCGACTGCTATCACGTTCTCTTTCTGTAAACAACTGCTTCCTTGCATTGATGGTGTATCCAACGTGGTTGAACTCTGAGAGCCTAAAAGATTAGTTTCATTCTCTGTCTTCTTCTTCGAGCTTAAAGCGTTGGTCTGTCCTTCAGGCTTAGAAACAACAGGCAGGATATTCCAATCTTCTGCCTCTAGAACATCATAGGGGTCCTCCGATGGCGATCTCAGCCTAGAACACTGTTTCATTCTTCCTGTGCTAGTGAGATTTAGTTGCCCTTTATTCCAATAACTGCTACATGTACCTCTTGCGGACCCGGAGTAACCTGTTAGATCAAAATCCTCTGCTTCAGGGGTGGGTGGGGGTGGTAGTACAGGCAGGGGAATTCTCCTCAAGTGCCTATTAGATTGACTGCTGCCTAGAAATAAGGGAGCACATGAGTTTACTCTCGCGTTAGATTCTGCTTTGAATCGAGAGCTTCTTGGCATCGGCCTTTCGACAACTGATATCTTCTGGCGGTTTTCTGGAGCAGCCACGTCGAAGAAAAGAGAGTGCAAAGACTTGTTCCTCTTTTGCCGCAAGTGCAGCTCCTGTGGGCTGGTGTGAGGATCGCTTTCAACATTTAAAGTCAAGGCTAATTCATCGTCATTCCATAGCTCATTCAAGCTAAAGCAAGGCAGCTCATCATCAAACTGATCTAAAGAAATGGTGAAACATTTTAATTTTTCCTTTAAGATAACATTATTTGTTCCCTAACGATTTTGCATTAGACATCCGTGTGTTAAAAGTGGCCCCAGTAAGCGAATTGTTGTCTTTACAACTGACCAGGGGACCCTGTGGTATAATGACACTCCGTAGCACAATAACGTCCGTATACGGGGTCGTCCAAATTTTAGGGAGGGTGTGTGGTATTCTTGGTATTTACACCCCTATGAAATTCAGTTTGCGTCAGAAAGAACGTACGTACTAGATCACATTAAAAAATGATTGAGTAAAATCCTATGGCCTTACATTAGGAGGGAAAGAAACAAAAACGCGAATATTGGTCCTCAAAACGAGACAATGAAACACAATGATACCTTCATCTTTACTGGTATCCCTTTGTTCTTCTCTTTTTCTTAAATGCCAGTCAACTTCTTCCCAACAAAGGCTTCCTGTATGTTCTTTCTCACCAACCACAGTCTCCTCGCTTCTCTCTTCACAGATGTGAAAAGGGATCCTGCGCGTATAACCAAATCTTTTGTCCAGTGTTAAATCCACATAGCTGGCTCCAACGGTCTCCGGCGCCGATGGCTTTAGAGCAATGATCATGATGAGACTTTTGAGTTAACTCAGACAACAATGCAAGGGGATCTTCATATTATAAAATAACCCTCATGTATGTTTCATTATGCGTCGAACAGTGGGTAACTAGTACTGGCAGTTACCTTTAAGCGTTTGGCTGGCGTGCCAGGAATGGCTTGCGCTCTTATGTGAAGGTTTTTCAGGAAGGAATTCATATTTCCGTGTTCATCCACCTCGGTAATTTTTCTTTGATTATCTACAGAGCAAAGTGCAGTAAATAATTTATTTGACCATGAATAATCGTTTTTAAGAATGTTTTTAATGAGAGTCCATAACTAATCAAATCATTAAGGATCAATTGAAAGCGGTTTACCTATAGTTGGTGTACTCATCAATGGTGAACAATTTGGTTCTTTATTCTGTTCCACCTAAACAAGTCATGATACAAGCTGATGGTTAATGATCACTTCATCAGCTTAAGTTGTTAAGGCGTTAAGGCTGTTCTCACTTGTAAGAGGTTCTTACGCTTTCTATGGAACTATCTATTGAAGACCTGCGCAAAGAGTGACCCTATGTAACTACCGCTAACCATTGCCAAAATTCACACATGTAAATATACGCCGAGGACTGGCTGGAGCAAGATAGTTGGTGCAAGCAATGATACGCCCAGTCTTGTTGGATTGGAAAAGAATATTGAAAAAAATCAAAAACAACAACAACAAAAACAAAAGACCCAAAACAAATAGAGTCATTCAAGTCAACTTACCTGTGACTTCCTTTTCCTTGTCTTAGAGTTGACGCCTTGTTTGCAGCATTCATGGCCACATGTGTGTTTTGTCAAGGAAGTTTTAATTGATACGAAATGTAAATGTATCAAATTATAAGCCTATCAATGCGCAAAATGTGCATGACCCGAAGAGAATTAATCACAAAGTTTTACAAAAGAATGCTACTGATGGTGGACTAATATCCCTAATTTTCACTATTTCTACGAAATTACTGATGGATACAGACTGACACCGACCGATACCTTAATTACATATAATTAAAGGTCTGTGAAGAGGAATATAGGTATGATTAACTCTCAAAAGATATACTTCCTTGTTGAGGCAACGATGACTACAAGCGACCTTTGACGTTCCGGCCTTGGATGTGCTGTTGCTTCTATTCGACTCTTATGTGAAAGAAATACAATGTGTGAGAACTGAACACGCAGGAGATGTTCGATAGTCTAGAAATTCAGTGTTCCAGTCTATGAATTTAGTATTCCAGTCAACGAATTTGAAATTTTAGTGGTGATTATGAAGAGTATGAAAGGTAGAGTTTTCATCAGTTGTACAAATTATTCCAAAAAATATATCTAAAAAATTTTCTCATTCAAGACGACTGCCCGACATAAAAAGAGTTAAAGTGGATTCCAATCGTCAATTTTTTTTCTTTTCTTTTTCTTTTTTTTTTTTTTTCGATTCACACTATCTCAACGGATTTTATCTTAGCATCTAATTTTTCAGTGCTTTTTTATGAAGTCCAGCCATATCGTAAATAAAATTAAATGATTACTTTTGTGAATGTGTAACGATCCGAATGGTATAAAATTATTAAATGATGGGATCGTCATTATGAGTGAAGTTATCCTTAGGACGACCTAAGCCATATCATATTTTTTGCTTCGTTGCAGATGTGCGCGGCTCCATTCACTTCCTCCTCGCGACAGTGAGGAGAGAGTTTGAAAAACGAGGACAAAAATTTACCTGAATTAGAGGCATTGCTCTTCACAAGTTTAGGAGCACATGACTGTGGTTCATTCTTCATCTAATGGAAAAAAGTATCTGTATTCAGACGATTACAAATCCTGTAGTTAAAATAACACATAAAAAACTGGGGGTATTCAGGCTTTTAAGTTTCCTCGATTTCTGTTCGAGAAATAAATTACTATATAGAAAAAAGAGTATAAAACAGATACCATGGTGCATTAGTACGTATAATACCTTATCAATTTCTCACTAGGTATAAAAGTTAGAATACGATGTCGTGAATCTGCTTTGAGAATGTTTAACCGTAATAACCAACTAAATAACTCGTTAGATCAAAAATTCAGTTTAAGATTAAAAGATTAGTAAATTCGAGTAGGTTTATCAAAGTAAAGTCAGATCTACAATTTGAAAATTTACTAATACGTACGATAAGATGTGGCCGCCCAACACTGTATTGAGGGGAGAACCGTTTACTCACGTCCACACCAACTGAAAAAGAAAAAAAAAGAAACTGTGCGCTTGTCCCAGTTACAAGTCATCACAAAAATGGAAATCATTTCTTTACCTATATTCCGAGTAAGTTTTCTCTATAAAGTGAACGTTACCACTAACAGCAACATTGATCGAGTTTTACAGATCTGGTGTAATTTTCAAAAAGGACTCGATTTAAGACAGCATAGCTAGCAGAGGATTGAAACCTGGCAATACAGCTCACAAAAAATGATCAATAACATTAAAAACGACGAACACAAGAAGCATTTTTACGGCAACATTTATCATCGGAAGCGAAGGAGAAAACAGTACATCGAGCACGTCGCTGAGCCACAAATTATAAAACTGAGATGAAGCACTTTGTGAAATATTACTGACCAAAGAACGAACATGATTTATATTTTGGATCAATTTTAGCATCTGAACAACTACGCACCTACCCCTTCCCTAACGCAACAACAATCACTTAAACAAGTTAGGGTTAATGTTGAGTTGGGGGAGGGGTAGGTGCGCAGTTGCCCAGGTACTGATATTGTTTCTATATTGATCCAATAATGATATATACATTCCTGTATTAGTACCGTATTCTTGACTGATAAGGTGTATGTTCAAATCTGAAGACTGAGTAGCCGTTCGCTGTACGTCAACTCTCTTACTCCAGTATCCCTCTTTCAAAAACACAAAATCTCTGTCGTAAAAACAATGAAAGTGGTTTGTTCAGTGGATAGCTCATCAACCTCAAAATATATGATCAACATCTTAAGTCAACTGTTACCTTTCCTGTTGATGAAACTAAAAGAGGATAAAGTTTCAGGTGTTGAGGAGATACAAATTTTTGGTTACCCTAATTTCTGTTTGAACACCACGTTGTTTTCAGTATCAGCGATCACCAGAAGGCAGAAGTGGCTGTTCCTTGCTGACCCAATCGCATCTTTTCGCTTGATGTAGTTCATCATGGTAACTGTAATTACAATCTCGGAACGATTTGGCTGATGTTTCCCTTTCTTTAACATAGAAAATTTTGAAGTGAATAAACCATTGTTTGATATTTTCGAAAGTCAAGTAGGTTATGCTCATTGTTTGGAAAGTGAGTTTCAAGGACTAGGTTATTTTTTGCTTTAGGTTGTCAGTGACGACGGTCGAGGCAAATCATAAATTAGCTGTCAGACGAATGGTCGGCGTGGCTAGGCTACCTAAAAATAATATGTTTTTGAGCCTTTACTCGGTTTTTTTAAAAATAATTCTCAGCATATTGAGAGGATAAGTCTTTTAACCTCCTTTTAGTTAAGTCTTATTTGCCAATAGACCCTATTAACACTCAGGGTCTTCATATAACTGAGGAGAATGTACTACCTTTGATTTGACATCATCAATTGGTTAGACATTTAAGTCTTCTTGGATAAGGACGATAAACCGTAGGTCCCGTCTCTCTCTCTTTACTGGTTAGCAGGGGACAATACAGAACAAACACACTTCTCGCAAAGAGTAAGGAACGTGGCTCCCGGTGTTGTGGTCTGCCATGTCATTGTTTATACAGCCCCCCATTTAAACTAGCTCTGAGCTGAACTTGGCCACCCTGTCTAAATATCGCAATTATATTACATTACATGACTAATTTCAAAGCTAATACTCTTTTTACTGCATCTATTCAGCTCTCGATCGTCAGTTAGTTTGATCAACCCCAGAAACGCCTACTGTCAACCCACACATCTACACACAATACAAAATACACAACACAAGAAATATATTCCGTAATGATGGACTAAATAATATACCTGCTGAACAGAAACCTCATATTTTGGTAAAGTTGAAGCTGCTTCCCGAATCTAAAGGTAATGAAGGAGAGATATATTGTATATGACAAGTGTTTTTATTCATAAACCACAGATATATTAAGCCGACCATGCCTACCTGACTTCCGAAAGGTGGATGACGATTAACGATCTGAAAAGTTAACAACACGTAATATTGAATTGTTGAGGTTGATATATGCGCAGTGAATGACTGAAAGGAGATTGCCAAAATAACTTGCAATGATTTTTATACCATTTCTATTTCTCGAGGATTTGTTTCCTCAATTTTCTTGAGGGTTGTCAACCCAGCGTTGACCATCATAGCCGACAAAGAAGGTCCTAATAACAAAATAACAATAACAATGATACGATAATGATAACAATAACAATAATAATAATAATAATAATAATAATAAAGTAGAATTTTCACAAAAATTTAAAACAAAGACTGCCGCAGGGGATGTCAGTGGAAGCTGAGTTTCAGCCTTTAAAATCGTTATCCTTTTAAAAAAGTGATGAGAATTGTCACACTTATCCGTTGAAGGGTGACACCTGATGTGACACCAAATTTTCGAAACCAATTTACAATTGTACAGTAATTGAACTGAGTGGAATGCAATTTGGTCTGGAATTATACGCGTTATTTGAAATCACAAGTATAATCTCAGACCAAATTTGCAGGACACGAAGTTCATTTGCCACTTTATTACATTTATTTTAAAATCCCAAAATTCAGTCAACTTTCGTTAGTCTCTACATATATTTTATTGATCCAGTATATTGAGCTGGTTTGTAAAAAGTTGCAAAAGATGTATTTCATTTTCCAGCAATTAAATTGATTTCTCTAAACAAGCGTTGTAATTGGTTGGTTGTTGTGTTTTAGTAAAGCTGTCTGATTGGCTGAGAAAAAAAAACCGATTTATAGCATAAAATAGTGCGATTTATGAATAAATTACACCAGTGAGAGCCAATCAGATTGCAAGGATCACAAATGTTTTAAAAATGGTTGAATAAATAAAGAAATATTCTGCGGCCTAGTAGAGAATTAAATATACAGAGCGTGAGAGTTAACTGCCTACTAGAAATATTTTGCACCCTGTCTAAATATATGGATTATCCGATACAAAAAAACAAGAAGAGCAAATGTGCTTTCAAATAGTGATTTAGCCATCAGATCTCATTAAATTTCCCTCAAGACCGTTTTAGGATGTGTCATATCATTAGTGTGGACAGGGCAATGTTTAAAATGATACCAAAGCACCAAGAGCTGAATAACATACCAACTTTCTCTAGTTGCCTTGAGACAAACTTGGAATTCTCCCATAATCTACAACAGATTTTTAATTTTCAAGTTTACTGCACAAATTAGTTTTCTGTGAAAACTGAATCTAATCAAACGACAGAATCGGTTGTGAGACGAAAAGCAAAAACACAAACTTTCAAACAAAAGTTACCTTGCTCTCATACACTTCGCGAGAATGACTGAATTCTGAAGTGACATAAAATTATTATTCAACATTTGTAGCTCAGTCAAACCTGGAAATTGAAAAACCGTCATTGAGTTTTTATGAAACGTTTTTGTGGTGGAGATATTAGTCATCAGAAAGTTACTTTCCATGATACGGAGCTCCAGAAATCCGTTATTACAGAGAGGAGTATTTATTAAAAGTAGACCGAATGGGTGAATGGTGTTAACATATGCAAATTTTTTCAGATTGTTTCGTTACTTACAGCGAGTAACTCTTTGTCCGGCTCGAAAAATTTTCTGCTCAAAACAAAAACTGTAAGTTAGTACGACAAAATGAAATGTTTCCTACTATCAGATTTAAAGAAACGTTAACCTGCCTAACAATTTCATTTTCAGACAAAAGGTCTTTTAATTGTAATATTTCTGATTCAAAACGATTTTTCCAAGCCATCTAACGGATTGTATGCTTGAGTTACGGTTAAAAAAATGCACTACGACCATTCAACCCTTCACTCCCAGGATTGCCCGAAAATAATTTTTTCTATACCTCACAACAACAAAACATTTTCAGGAAAAAAATTGATGAGAAGAAAGAAAATGAAATGAAAATTAAATTGACGATTGAACACCAAACTATAAGAGATGAAATTATAAGAGATATTTGGCCGACAGTGCGGAGGATTGATTTTAGATATTGGAAGTGAAATTAAAAGGCTAATGTGCAAACTGACCGCAACATCTTGGCTTAGGGAGAATTCCGCTATTGGAAGTGAACCAAGCGTGGCTTGTATAAGGCTGAAAAAGTGTTATTAGAATTTCATTAACAAAATTAATCACATGAAAGGTTTAAGAGGAACTAAAAATGCATTATTCAGTTTCTTACCAATTAACTTTTTGTTCCGTTGACTTGATTCTTCCACTGATTGGAAACCTTCCCGTGAAAAAAAACAACAACAGCGACAAAAACGAAATAAAACAGAGCAAACATTGAAGCTTGCTGTTCATTGTAAATGACAGCTCGAGCATGAAATATAAACTTACGCTCCGAAAGGGTCATCTAGTAGTACAATTATACCTTACATTTTCGCTGTTTTTGTCCTTGTTTAGAGTATTTAGTACTCGTTTTTCGTTCATTCGTAGCTTGACATCGGAAAATTCTCTGCACTTGGACACCAGATCAACCTGAAAGTCATTACGTTGCGCCATATTTTTAGTGCTTCAAGAATAATATCAAGTTTCTCGATCAACGCTGCACGAAGACAGAATAGGAATACTACTCACCATATCACTAAGACTTTCCGTTCCTTTGATGTTAAGAAACTGTTTCATGGAGTCGTAAGCAATGCAGTATCTGGCCATCAGGCGACCTGGCTCTGAATGAAAGATTATATCATCATTATCAATATTTCACTTTCAAAAGAAAAAAGGAGTAGAGGTCAATGAAACCCTCTACCTCTAAAGTAAACCGTTAACTCCACTTATATGATTAGTAATTCTTTTCGATTGCTGCTATATATCTTCTAGTAAATGTTTTATCTAATTTGGTCTCATATTATGATTAACCCACCGAAGATCATCTGTTTCCTTATTAATGCTCTGAAATTGTGCGATGAGGTCACATGTGAATCAATTCTACGAGTAAGTAGATAGCGTTCTTAGCTCCAGTTCTGTCATAAACTAGTTTATCTTCCAGCCTCAATTCCTAACCCAACGTTTTTACTGTGGTTCACTTTGAAAATGTGTTTTAAAATTCATATACTGTGCTCTATTCTATTAAGACTGAATGGTTTGTATCAGCACCTGTGGGCTTGAGATCAAAACCGTCGTCCATTTTTATGAGCCCAGCCTTTTCCAGTGTGTTGAGGCTCTTCAAACAAAAATCTGCAAAATAAATAAATTTCAGTTACGAAATATTCCTCGAAGGAGCTTGGATTGTCTTCGAAGTGAATGGTTTGGGATTATCAATAGTTGAGAATTTTGCAGAAAGAAAAGAAAAACATACATGATATTATTTCTGATTCGACAGACCTAAGGTAGCAAGGGCTAAAATTACTAGGACTTACTTATCGTAAGTAGAAGCACGCAAGCCTCTTTCGTACCATGTAGGCCTACATCACACCAGACTAGCTTAGAATATTACTTGAATTGATCGATAAAAACAAGCAGAGAATAAAACTAGCAGAAAGAAACAAAAACTAAAAATAAAACAGTATTATAGACTAATTCGAGGAATGCTGTTGTGAATACCTTGTAACTTTTGTTCCAAACCCTCTTTCTCAAGTCCCTCAGGTATCCCTATATAAGGTGAACGAGAAAACAAAAATAATCAGTATTCAATGACAGCTGGCAACAGGCGAATTTTGTTGTCTATTTCAAATGCAATCTCCGCCTATTTGCTGAAATTAACGTCATCAAAATACAGATAGAACTTCCATCTGCCTCCTTCTTAGCAGTGTTTGCCATTTACTTCAAAACTTATTAAAAGCCCTCAAGCTGGAAGAGACACCACATGAAAAGGTTTTGACATAGAGAAACATCTTTAACGATGAGATACCCCTTTGGGCTTGCAAATTATTCTAAATTTGAGTTGCAATCGTTAAATGACTGGATTCTCAATTCTCCGTTTGAACCGGAGAATTTTATTATGGAGAACCATCAACCTACAGCTCTGTCCACTTCGCCAGATGCTGGATGACAATGGAATATCCCTATCGTACATGCCACACATACCGTAGTGTGTGGGATTCTTTAATATTCTTATATACAAGAAGGTGGACTTCAACCACTCTATGGCAATAGAAACGTCTGTGATAGTGTTAAGGACTATTTCTGCGTTCAAGTGCTCGATTAGGTGATGGTGCAAACTGCAATAAACAATTGACCATTATTCAATCAGTAAAAAAGGTAAAAAGGATTAGTTTACCACACCTCGCAGAGGCCTTAAAACAAATATCATGAGCTAAGGGCTATGAAAAACAGCCATTCATTTGACAGCTAGAACATTAGACAGCAAATGACCAATAATCTAATAAAACAAAGTCTGTGAATGAGAAATAATAGGAGAGTTGACATTCTCTGGACCCTCTGTCTATTGTAAATAAGGTAAGTATTCTGTGCGCGCGTTTAAGACTTCTTTTCTTTCTGCACAACAAAAGAGCTAAAGCAAATCGAAACATTTAGTAAGCTTCACATGCGAAACAGACCTGCTCTCCAATTTCTGAGTGCCTTCAAGAAGGCCGGTATACTTTTCCTGCAAAATAAATTATAGCATCAAAGAGAAGTAAAAGATTTCGAATGAAAGTTGCTCAATCAAATCAAATCTACCATAGCCGCGTAAGATGTGATAGCCCGGTGGTTTTGAATCTATTAAATTAATTTGTTATTTTTAAAGGTCACCGTTTCAAAGACATGCATAGCAAAATAATTGTAAAACTTAGGAAGAAGAAAGGATGTCGGAATCCACTTGATAGAGATGAGGAGATTACAGAGATTTAATTACAGGACATATGGGACGTGAATTAGGGGAATTTAATCAGTAACCGCTTAATAAAGGGCGCGTAATATAGACTGAAGTTTCAGTTATTGTTTATTTTCATGCAATCGGCTAATTTTTTTGGTTAACTTAGTAACAGTTTCAGTGACGAAAAAAGCCAGCTAATTTCACCAATTAACGATTAGAAAACCGCACGCGCAGCATCAATTACCTCTGTGACGTCACTTAACAAAGACACATTCAAACTTTTCTCAACCTTTCTCACTATTTGCGACTATGCCTTTCGTCACACTGTGGCAGGCGTTATTCGCCGTCGGTGAAATCATGAAGGGTTTCATCGGAAGTGATGACACGGATGCTTTAAGCGACGTAGTAGAAAAGGTATACAATTTATCTCAATTTAGTATTATCAGAGTTTTCGAAAAGGAGCACCAAAATCACCACCGACCCTGGCAGTGCGAGAGCCACCTAAAACCCCCTTTTTTCTTCACATTAGACCAAAAATCAAATTAAGTGCACAACACTAGTACTCTTTACATGGATACTTAGAAATTGAAGCCAAATACACACTTTCAGACAACTAGTCTGACAGATAGGGCGATCGATCGATCCAGAAAAATATCAATGGGTGTAATCCTAAGTTGAGTTGGGATAAAGTTGACAGGAAAGAGGTGTTATTAAGTTTAATATTTTCCTAATTTTCTGAATAATTAAATGAATCCTCCATTCCATTCTGAAGTAAGGATCCATGTCCAGATTGGTAGACAATGTTTGTTATAGTAAACATCACTACAACACGTTTGTTTTCTACGTTTAACACAGGTGGTCCAGGGGCATAACCCCGAAAGAGAGAACGAGAAAGATGTAGGGTGCAGCAAAGTGATGGCTGAACGAGTGCCATTCCCCGAAGGGGCCCGAGGGGAAGACACTGATAAAAGTGGTTGTAAACCTAAGTTGAACCGGGATATAGATGACAGGAAAGAGGTATTATCAAGTTTAACATTTCGGTCTTTCTAAAACGGTAAATTGAGCATCCATTTCGTTCTGAAGTAAGGGATCCATGGGGAAAATCATTACCACACGTTTGTTTCCACATTCGACACAGGCGGTTCAGGTGCAAGATACCGAAAGAGGAAACGAGAAAGATGCAGAGTGCGGGGAGAAGGCTGAAAGAGTACCAACCCCAGAGTGCACTCGTGTGGAAAACGTCAATAGCAATGGTTGTGAACCTGAGTTTAGCCGGGATACATGTGATAAGAAAGAGGTATTACCAGGTTTAATGTTATCTTCTTTTTTAAAAGGGTAGATTGGGCCTACTTTTCATTCTTAGCAGAAGGATACATAATTCAAATTGGAAGACAATGTTTGACGTGGGACAGATCACTATGAGACGTTTGTTTCCACTTCCGCACAGGTGGTTAAGCTGAACGAGTACCATACCCCGAATGCACGCAGGTTCACAACCACTGTTGTTAACTTTTTGAAAAAGTAAATAACAAAGGTTGTGAACCTGAGTTGACATGGGATACAGATGACAGGAAAGAGATATCATTAAGTTTAACGTTTTCCTATATTGCTACAGGGATAATTGAGCCTCCATTTCGTTCTGAAGTAAGGGATCCATAATTCATATTGGAAGACAACATTTGTTGAGAGAAAAATCACTACGACACACTTGTTTCCATGTTCCACACAGGTGGCTCAGGAGCAAGATCCCGAAAGAGAAAATGAGAAAGATACAGAGTGCAGCAGAGAGAAGGCTGAACGAGTACAGTCTCCTGAGTCCGCTCTTGCACAAAAGGCAACTAACAGTGGGTGTAAACCTGAATTCAGCCGAGATACATGCGACAGGAGAGAGGTATTAAGAAGTTTCACATTTTCCTTCTTTTTTAAAAGGATAAATTGAATCTACATTTCGTTCTTAAGTAAGGGATCCATAATTCAAATTGGAAGACAATGTTTGGTTTGGGACAGGTCAACATGACACATTTTTTCCACGTTCCACACAGGTGGTTCAGGTGCATGACTCCAAAATGGGGAACGAGAAAGATGCGGAGTGCAGCAAAGAGATAGCTGAACAGGCACCATTCCCCGATTGCTCTCGTGAGGAAAAAATTGATAACAATGGTTTTGAACCTGTGTCGAGCAGGGATACAGATTACAGGAAAGAGGTATCGTTAAGTTCACATTTTCTTACTTTTCTCAAAGGGTGAATTAAGCCTCCATTTCGTTCTTGAGTAAGAGATCCATAATTCAAATTAGAAGACAAAGTTTGTTATGCAAAAAGTCACCATGACACGTTTGTTTCCACGTTCTACACAGGTGGTTCACGTGTGTGACCCCGAAAGAGGGAACGAAAAAGATGCAGAGTGCAGCAGAAAGACAGCTGAACGAGTACCAACCCATGAATTCGTTCGTCTGAAAAAGGTAATAACAGTGGTTGTAAACCTGAATTGAGGCAAGTTACAGGTCGCAAGAAAGAGGTATTATTGAGTTAAACATTTTCTCACTTCTCTGAAGAAAAAATTGAGCCTCCTATAGGTGACATGAAAGACGTTTTATCAAGTTTGACAATTTGCTATTTTTCTAGAAAGGTAGATAAGGCCTCCATTCGTTTTTCAGGCAATAAATTTTTGCTTTTTTAGGAAACAATCTAATACGTGAGATTTGACAGAATAATGGAAAAACAACAACTTAGGATCAAATTACTTAATTATAGTCATTTAATGGTTTTTTTTTTTTTTTTTTAATTTTGACGCAGAACTCTGGTGTTTCCCAACATAACAGCCACGGTGAATATATTGCGCACACCAGTTCTGAAAGGTAAGAGATTTCACGGCCGAAATTTTCACTGATTATACTGTGTAGCTGGTCTGTTCAAGGAGTAGGACCTGCAAATGCTTAGTGGCAAACAATCCTTACTCAGATTATGTTCTGAAAAATTAACGGAGATGTTAGACGGTGATTGAGTTTTAGGTTGGAGGGTAAGAGTACAGCGGAGAAGGGTGTCGAGAATAGTTCTGTCTTTCAAAATACTTGATTACAAAGTCACGATTCAACTTAACATACTCTTCGTTTTGTTTACTTTCACAGTGGTGTCAACGGGACTACATTGAACCCTCTAGCAAGAGAATTTCGACCAGCAACTAAGGTCTAGAATTTTTTTTTCAGCAGATTGTGTGAATCTTTTGAAATTAACCTCTTCTTCTTTTGGAGCTAGTCATTTCTTTATCTAACTATAGAAAACGAATATCGTTATCTTCCACAAGCTCTACCCAGAGCCTAAAATGTTTTATTGATACTAAAGCAGTCTTCCTAAAAAAAAAAGGTTCAAAATTCCTTTAAATAACCTAATTCTAGATGTGATTGACGAGGAATTTATGTTAACAGGCTTCCTGTGGCATAATTTATCTACAGAATTTTTATCCAAATAAAGAGATGCAACCCAAGAAAAAAGCATCGATGGGCAGACGTTACGACAAGCCGATAGCCCAAGAGCGGCGGCGAATGCGTTCATGCGGTCCTCCACAAATGCATGGGTTGGAGGCACCTCCGTGGAGCCATCCCAAACCAAGTTATCTCCCGCCAAGGATCTGTCCCGGCCCACCAGGTAAGTAGGAGAGATCAAGTAAGAGTACAGACTAAGATCATACACACTAACGTTTAGTGAATCTCATTGTTTATATATATGGCTTCTTAAGTATCCATACAGTCTAGGGTAAAATTCAGCTTAATGGAACTCGGTGACTCAGCGCAACGGAGAACTTTTAAGCGCAGCACGATGCAGAGGAATGCAACAAAACGCCACCCAGCTCAGATGGGAGGGACACAACACAAATGTATTATTCAATATAACTCAGCAGCGTGCGAAGTAATGCCACGTAACTGTTATTACGTGACTTTTCTCGCTTCATTACGATATAAGATTTTTACCGGGGTGAATACAGCATAATGCAACTTGCTCATTCAACGCAACACAGGCTACTAGGCCAAAACGTAGTGCAGAGGACTGCACAAATTGAATGCAACAGAACAAATAACTCTCAAACAGGAACGGCGAAATCTTTTAAAAAGAACGCCAGAGAGCCAACAAAGCTACCCAGGAGAGTGCTGCATCAGGTCGCAATTTACTACAGTTATAACACAACGGAATACGAGGGTATGGCAATACAACACATGTCTATGCATACCCCTTAACAAAACTGAGTCAGTGCAACACGATTCAACGGAATGTAAGGAGATGGAGAGCAGTTAAATACAAAGTCGAGCAACGTATACGTGATACCGGTTGCCATCATAATAAATAGATAATATATTTTTTTCTCTTTTATAGGGAGACACTGCAGGATGGAAACACCAAGGGTACTTTTTCCTGCCTCTCACTTTCGTCAAACGCAGCCACCGATTAACATTGCGCCCAACGCATGGCCAAATACGAATATGGCCTACACAGACCGAGGAAACAATTTCTCTACTAGACAGAATCCACATCCTATAAGACATGTAGGGCCGTTTCCAGGAGTAGCACCATGGCCAAGGCCTTTTCTTCCCAACAATTGGCCAACTCCCACACCGAAGAACCTTGTGCCCAACGCATGGCCAACCAACATGGCTTATACAGACCACGGAAGGGGTGTCCCTACGAAACAGAATCGAGATCCTAGTAATCTTGTGGGGCCGTTTCCAGGAGAAGCACCACAGTCAAGGCCTTTTCTCCCCAACAATTGGCCAACACCCCCACCGATGAACATTTCTGCAGAACAGAATCCAAGTGCTGTTAATCCTGTGGGGACTATACCAGGAGTAGCACCATGTCCACTGCCCTCTTCTTCCAACACCTGGAAAACTCCGTTAACTATGAACATTAGACCAAACAAATGGGCAAATAACAACATGCCTGACATGGATCAAGGATTTTGGATACCTGCGGAACAGAATCCGTTTCCTCATAACTACATTGGATCTGGCCCGATACAAGTCCAACAATTATCACCATACCGAACAGGTTTGTAACTTACATTCTAGTTCCTCTTAACACCCAAGCATGAGATACCTAGAGCGTTCGTTGATAAGCAACCTAATCTTTTCTACTCTCTATAAGCGTGTATGTCAGGAAAATAGTCTCTCTATCCGTTTAAGTAATCTTTGGACGCCAACTATTTGAGTAAATAAAATTACATTTTGAGAAATCAAATGATTAGGCATAGTCTGCGTATGGGGTATTCATAATCTTAGGAATTTAGATTATTATGTCATTGTAGCTACAATTAGTGGTTTCGAAATTTAGTGTTATTACACTTGACACTTACATAGAGTTTCTCATCTAATCCTATCAAGTACCCTATGTGGAGCAGTCTCGTTCATATGATACTAATCCATCAGAAACTGTGAATCCTTGATCACCATGCAAAGTGCTGAACCAGACCCAGCAGGTTTGTATAAATATTCATTTGAATGTTCATCTTAAAATAATTCTTCGTTGCGTTATCATTCTTAAGACTTCACGATCAGCTCCCAGGAGATGTAGAAACAAGAGACCCTTTGCAGAATTAAGAGCGAAAGTGCAACAAGCTACGCCCTCTTCTGATTGAGCTGTACAAAATCTCATGCAGCCTAGGCTGCAGTAACTGATTGCCCTACGCGCGTCGGGTGATACATTAAAACTTATCCATACGGAGGAAGTAGTCGACTATGCCTTGGAATTATTGAGGTATTGATAGCCTTGGTTTAAAGACAGAATCTTGAACCGTGATACGCATTATTTTCAAGGTTTTCACTACCTATTCTTGTTATTGTTCTTTTACTAACAGGTGATTTACATGACGCGAGGTGCCAGCATTTTTCTTCTAAGACTGATTTCCTTTTTTTTATATATATATATGAAAAAGTGTTGTTAAAGATATTTATGAATGTGGAAGTCGTATGCGCTCTTTGCAATCGCTTGTAATGCTTTCACGTACGTCAATTGTGAATTTGAAAGAAATATGTTATTAAAATGATCGGAAACATTAGATTCAGTTGTCTTGTTTCTTTTTTTCCTCGAGTAAATTGCTTTCGCAACAGTTTTCGCTGAAATGAAGTTGGTGGTCTACACTTCTCTGCCTTTGGAGCGACTGAGACAAAAATTATTTCAAAAACCCCCTGCAACAAACCACGGTTCATCCTCGTTAATTGAACCTGTTTCCTTAACGAATGACTCACAAGGCAGAAATAAGGAGTTCAAAATCTTGCAAGTTAAGGAAATAATAAGGATGATAAAAAAAAGGTAGACTGCACAGTTTCTTTCACTAAGGTTAACGCACATAATCGTACTTAAGTTTTAATTTCTGCCAAGAGAGGATAATCTGTTTCCTCTCTTAAAACTATGCCACATAAGATGCCCTTTCTCGGCCCGTATGGAGATACGGGCAATTATAAATCGTGGATTGTTGAGAGTCTTACTTATTTGTTAGGGTATTTGTGAAATCTTAACAGCTTTAAAATGAGGAAAGGACCTCCGGCTCTGATTTGGATTCATATGTAAAATTAAAATCCTCAATGAGAGAGGAACGTACAAAGCTTTCACAGTATAACATACCTTGTTTGCAATTGTTGTCAAAATGACTGCAGTGGCGAAGGAATCAAACTAAGAAAAAGAAAATTCGTATTCAATGAGACTGGTTTGTGAGATGTAAACATTTCCTATCAGGTAAATGATTAAACCCTTGCAATAATCAAACAAACAAAACGCCAACGGTGAAGTCAGCCATGTTTCACGAATGTTTAGGATTTTCCCACAAATGACAGTCTTGCTACGTTTAGTATCGGTGAAAATACCTGTGGTCTTCCTGCCCTTCCAATCATCTGAAGTATTTGTGTTTCTGAGTACTCTTGAAACACGCCCATGACGTAGTGAGATGTTGACTTGATGATGACCAGATGAGCGGGAAGATTTACCTGACAATGAAACTCTTGTTCAAATTAATCTTTGACGAATATTACTTTTTCTAGTGACAAATAAAGATGGGTTTCTTCTGAAGATCCACTCTATGAAATGTTATAGATGCTATCGTATTTTTATTGGGAAATCGATAAAAAAGACACAAAGAAACAAAACTTACTCCTACAGCCAGAGTACTAGTTGCAACTGAAAAAATAAGGAAAGCAAAAGTACTATAATACTCAGGTAACAACTTCTTCACTAAGTAAAGGAAGAAATAAGTGAAACATTTGGCTAGAGTAGGGGACCAACATGAAGTCAGAGTTTCTTTGAGCCAGAGAATTTCCGATCGTGCGGGCTGATGGTCAACAAACTAAGCTCTTTTAAGAGAACTCCGATTGATGAGCTAAGATGTATACTTGGTTCATATGAGACAAACTCCTTGTTTACTACATGGATAGGCAAGAATGAGTAAAAATTATTCAGGGTCAAAGACTACCCGATAGTCTCCGTGTATACTTACAAAGTACAGGCAAGTCGCCTTTGATGAACATTGTTTCAATGTTCCTTCGATCCGTGGGATCGAGTCCTGCATGGTGGTACCCAATCCCACACATCACTAACTCTGCAAAGTAAAGTCGTATGTGAAAAAAAAGACAAAAGACACTACCAAGACCACGATTAAATTGTCCAAGTACTCAAAATAGTCTTATGAGACAATAACTTTAGGACTGACATCGAGGTGTTTTCTTACCACGGATACATAGTGTGAAAACTAATTAAAATCACAAATTCACTGATTAAGTTTCGACCCCGCTTTGTTGAAAATAACTTCACCCCCTGTTCATTGGCTTTTCATCACAAGCAAAGTGTTTCGCTCAATGCATGTCACTCACCTCTCAGTTTAGAATCATGAAGAGAGTTAGCAATCCTCTGAAGCCTATAAGATAATTAATGTTGTAGTAGATCCTTCAATGGGTCGTAACATAACTGTTTCACTGACGTAAATGTAACATGGCTTTGACACTGTTACATGTAAGGCTAATTGTGGTGTTAGTGACTTTATGATAAACGAGTGTTGTTTAACTCGCGATCTATTACAAATAGCCACATTTACTTTTTGATACATTTCTCCTTAAGTTATGCAGCTAATTGCTAAACGGAACAGGTCAAACTCTACAGTCCTAACAATTACAATTCAATCGGTTTACCTTTGTCTGTGCTCTGAGTTCATGATAAAGCGTGCGTCTTTCATAAGCGTCTGTGCTGCTTGCTGAGCACTCTTGCGTGTTGAACAAAACTAGTTTAGAATAAACCGCAATATTATTTTTTCAACGCAGGAATACATGCCATTAAACATATTTGTGCATTATCACGAATAACTCCTTCCTTAAACAAGATAAACCTCAACCTTTTTATTTGTAACCATCCGGTATATTTTGCTCACCACAAGAGTAGGTTTCCGATCTGAGTAAGTTTGAATGATGCCACTCAACTTATAATTCAGAGACAAGTCAAATCGGAAGTCAGAGAAATTATTCCCCTTAGGAAAACCAAGAACAACTTTACGTAGTTTCACTGGTCGGTGTGAATCGTCCATACTGCAAAAGAAGGTATTCAATGAGATCAGAGCTTTTAGATCAGTCTAAACGAGAATGCCTTGGTTAGGTAGAGGTGGGGAAAGGGGTGGAAAGGGAGGAGAAATAAGGCTTTCGCCATAATATTTGTGATATGCTTTCCATCCAGTCCTAGAGTCCCATTGGAAGGGGCCGCTAGGGATGGAATTGAATACAATCTCCCCTCCTGTATACCTTTTTCTTTGTTTTATTTTACTTCTTATAGAAAGTTTTTAGAACAAAACTCTCATTTCGCAATACTTGTGTACGAAGAATGCTAGAAGTAAAAAAATTTAGGACAATTATTTCTTACCTGTAGTGAGATGCAGGAGAGTCAATACCTCCAAGCCAGGCTGAAATCTGTTTTAAAAAGAAATATAAACATTTAACCTTATATTTTACCCCACAGGGAAGCGTAGGTCAGCTCTAAATTTCCCCGAAAAAGCAGTCATTTTCCAAATCTATCTGGAAACAACAATTGTCGAAGCTTTTTTCCATCGAAGAATTACTTTACAGCATGATTACCTCTGTTTAGGGAGTGATCTGCCTGTGTTAAGTTTTTCCTTCAGATCGATTCATGTTTCTCTCCCAAATCAAGCCCTCGGCTGTGAAGAGACCTAAAAGTAACTATTTTGGCCAGTGACCTTACTGAGGAAACTTACATCTTCCACGTTTGGTATGGTAGCTGAGATGGCCAAAAGTCGCATGCCCGCTCTACCAAGACTGCTGGTATTTCCTGAAGTGCTGCAGCGGGTCATAGTGGATTGAACGGTCTTCATACGGCTGATGACAGCTTCAACAGTGGCTCCTCTTGCGTCATCGTTAATAAGATGAACCTAAAATATTAGGGAGTATGGATAGAAAATTGCTTCCTATTTTGAATTTTCACAAGTTTTAACTCGATAAAGCCCCAAAAAAGATTACTCAAGGATTAAGTTATAAGTTCAAGCCTTTCTCGAAGTTAGATATAAAGTAATGAATAATTCTGTTACTATCAAAAAAATTATGTTAATCATGTTGGATCAATAGGACTTGCGCGTTCATTGCGTCCAGTCATAACCCTGTTGCAGTTCAAAGTCAGGTACCTCATCAATAAGAAAAAGCTTGACTGACTGCACGAGGGATCTGTTGTCTCTCCACTTTCTTGTCATGCTGTCCCATTTTTCCTGTTGATCGAAAGGGAAAAAAAGACTTCAATGATGCTGAGACTTTACCTGACTGACTGATCGAATAACTAACTGATAACTGACTGAGTGGCTGACAAACCAACGGACTGAGTGGCTGACAAACCAACGGACTGAATGGCTAGCCGGCTGAATGATCGAATGACTAACTGATAACTGACTGACTGGCTGACTGATAACTGACTGACTGGCTGACAGACCAACTGACTGACTGGCTGACAGACCAACTGACTGAGTGACTGGCCGGCTAAGTTATCGAAAAACTAACTAATAACTTACTGACTGGCTGACACACGAACTGAACTACTGACTACCGAAAGGGGGTAAGTTTCTAAAGAAACTACAGGACTACGTCAGTGGGGGGTATTTAAGATAATTGGTTTTATCAACTGAGTTGATAATGTAAACTGACCACCGTAAAGATTTTCCAAAGCCCCCTTCTAGTCGCTCTGACGAAGGGCTAACGCTCGAAATGCCAGCTTCAGAAACTCTTTACAGTGATTCGCTGATTGACTCAACTACCTACTGACGTTTTGACTCAGTAAACAAATGACTGGTTAACTGGCTCGTCAGGCGACCAATGTCCATGTATGCTTATGGTACGATCGATCGTTGGACTTACAGGAGTGGTCATTATCACATGGACGCTCTGCAGTTCATAGAGGTCATCCAACTCACTATCGCCTGTTACTTCTTTGCATCTTAAGCCAAACGGTCCAAATTTAGTCGACCAGTCAGTGAAGCGTTCACTGCATAATGCCTTCATAGGGGCCACTGTGCATGAGGAAAATCAGGCGGAAAGACTTAATTTATATCTTAACTGAGCGTTAAAAAATTAACACGAAAATGACGTTGGAAATAATATAAGAAACGTGATGCATATTTACGAACGCAATCGTCTCAAAATTCATGTTGAATTTATTCAGTGAAAGGCCGGAAGACAAGCCTTATAAAGCTACATTATCAGCTCTTTGAGATTTTATTGTTGTATCTACATAGACACTTACTATAAACTACTTTAGCTGTACTTAGTCCTCCCTCACAGTTCATAAGAAGACGAATAACAGCAAGCTCAAAAATTACTGTTTTTCCAGAACCTGTTGGAGCGCACACCACAAGAGGTCTATCGGTGTACATCACCTGTTATTAAAAGGTAAAGCTTCAGAACTTGGTGAAACGACACAGGCAGTAGCATCCTTACCTACATATACTACTTTAACAGACCTCCACTACAAATAGATTGACAAGCTCCGATTGTTATGTTTCAAGCATTGCTTCTGATGTATCAAAAACTACCTTTTACCTTGATGACAGGTACAAGTGGTGCAACACAGAATGCCCATCAAGGCAACAATGATAATGACACTATGCCTCCAGTATCGAAAACAAACAAAAGAATAAAAAAACAAGAAATTGAGAAGGAGAGAAGAAAAGGAGAAGAAACAAGGGAAAATTATGCGATCGTGTCAGCTGCCACGTACGGCTGTTTCGGCCTTATTAGGCCTCGAAAGCCAAGCATTGCTTTGTCAAGAAGAGTAGATTGGAATCTTTGAAAATGTTCATTAAAATCAATATCAGTTGTTACCATTCATCTCACATATTGGCATCACTTTAATGTGACTATAAGGAGGCTCTTCGCTGAGTTCATGGCCTGGCCCCTCTTTGTAGCTCTTATACATCATTTCTCCTCCCTATCAGATTTCCCACGAAAAGACTCTCATGTTAATTACCGCAATGTTAGAGCAAGGCTTACCTCGTCAAATACTTTTGACTGCACGATGTTAAAGTAGGGAAATTTGCTAAATACTGAACGAAATGGGTTGGCTTTGTATGATCAAGGAAATCTACAGATGCTCAACATATATACTTTTCAGAACTTCAACTGGATAATATCAATTTATGTTATGAGTTACCAAGATAAACCTTTTATCCGAAGTTTAAGCGGACTGGGATATTCTTTTAAAGTTTTCCATCGGAAAGATCGATCATTTTCAACTACGAAACTTTCTTTCGAAACAAACCGCGATTCTCTTTCCTCTGGTACCGACTCTAGTATTCCGACCGTTTACATTTACCTGCGAGCAGTATAATAAACGCTATTCTGATCTCATCATTGTAAGTTTAACTCGTTGAAAATTGTTTTCTTACTTAACTATTGAAAGTGTTCCTATTTTTAGAGAGGATACGTATCTCATTGACAGAGCGAAGCCCTATCCCTGCATTCGGGTTCTCAGGTTGATCTCCATAGTCTAAGGAGCAGATAAATAACAAGTTTGCTTAAGATAAAAGACAAGGTGAGATAAATATTTATTGAAATTGAACTACTAATGCGTCTGTCACTATTGATCCACCGAGATCGAAGCCTACAGACCAAGTCCTGTTTTTGTCGTTTTCACGTTTTTCAGGCAAGTGAAGGCAGGTGCAATGTACTCCCGTCACGCGTGAGTAATGCGTGGCTCTCGGTAGAAAACACACCTCTGAAAGCTATGCCAATAGTGTAGACCTGTGTTTGACATCTATTAATTTGCAAAATTGTCTGAATTTCTAAAGCCATTATATATGACAACATTCAACAACACACTAAGACAAGAGTAACAAAAAACATGGCGTTTCACCTGGTATAAAAAGTTGAGCTGGAGTGTCAAAGTTATGCCGTGGGACTGAGGCCAAATAAAAGCTTTGATTATTTTCTTTTTCAGGGACATCATCTTGAAAAGCAAAACCTGACAAAAAATAATTCAAGAAAAAATGAAACTTGATATGGTTTATTCGAAAAACGTTGCTATGTGTGCACTCATTCCTGATCAAGATTCATCTAGCATTAAGCTTAAAATGCTGGGAAACTAATATTTGTTTGAGTGTTAGTTTTCAAACCTGATCAGTTAAGGTTACTACATGCTTCAGTTTTCCAAATAAGTGAACTACAGGTGATTCTGAGCCCAATTTTGCGTTTTGGTAATATCGTAAAACCTGTAACCAAACATCAAAAGTGTTCTTTAGCAAGTCATCTTCGGGACTAACAGGACACAAAGGTTCAGAAATCACGGGTAAAAAAGACCAATTTTTATTACTTCTTATATTAATATTACTTCTCGAAATATTTTAACACCATGCAATACAATGTAGTAGCACTAATTCAGGAAAGCCTAAGAGCCTTTGCCTGTTGTACGACATCTTAAGAGTACAACATAAGAGAGCTATTGTACCTTCTGAATTCTCCATGTCCAATTCAGACGCATTGAACGGAGCACCACGTAAATGAAAGACACTGTGTTGAGTAAAGAGCTCTGGTGAATCTTGTGCCACTACTTCATGCGCATAATCAGCTTCTTCTTCATCGTATAACAACGATGGTTGTAAATACCTGGATTGGGTGCGCTGCGAGCTGCTTACAAACCACTCGCTTTCTTTCTGGTTCCATTGGCTAGCAAAGCTGTTTGGAGTTGATGCTTGTGTAACAAACGATGATGAGTCAACAGGGTGGGACGAAGTTTTAAATCTCCTGCTGTTGAAATAGTCAGCGTTTGAACGGAAAAGTTGTGTGGAAGAGAGATCGTTTTGGGACATTTGTGACTGTATGTCGTCTAACATTGGCGGGGATGGAGGTGGTATTTGGACAGTTCGACGTGTTGCTTTAAAAGGAGGCCTGTAAGACAAATGTTACAAAAATCTTTCCACTAAGCAGCTGTCTTACAGTTTTTATACAGACTGCGTTTCCGCTATTGATCTTTCCTGTTTTCTCACAAAAACAGCATACATGTCTGTTTTCCTACATGTCGGTTGAACATAAAACTTTCCGAGTCATGGCTTAATTTGATTTCGTTTTCGTTTCCTTGTTTAATTTTAACCAGAGACACGGCCGAGAAAAACTGTCAAAATGAATTAAAACATTACAAAATAGAACTCTTTCGACATCAGTGAATACTGTCAAAAGAACTCCTGCTTCGTCCAAAAAAGTGAATGAACAAATAAATGAAATATAGAAGAGAACATTACTTTTTAATTTTTAAAAGCAGTAGACCGCACTCTTTCCACTAATGCACCCAAAAAGTTTGTAAAACAGTCCCTTTTGCTTCGAGCTGCTGTGACTTACGTATGTTCTACCAACATACCAGGTAGATTATTTACCAAGTAAACAAAGAGTGATTGGATTCTCAACCATCCAAATAAGTGTACATGGTTATAGTAAGGGTTAATTTGTTCCATTTTCCAAACACACAGAGCTTGATATTTTGATAGAGTAAATAACGGGAGAGCCATTAAGTGTTTAGGTAAGTTTGAGTTTTGGAAGCCATTCACAGTCATAAACATAAACCTGGGAAGGACAAAAGGCTTTCTTGGTCTGATGAATATTAACAGCAGTGACTGCAAAAATTCTGCTGAAGGACTAATTGTTTTTTTTTCTACTTTAGCCTGGGAATATTTCACCTCTATCAGCAGTCATTTACAGATAATACGAAATCCAGCACAGATTATTTAAGGGTTTCCTACCGCAATTTAAAAACAAGTTTAAATAACGCTAATTTCGATTAATTACAAAAGCTAATTATTTCATCTATGCATGCATGATATATATCGATGAAGATGAACATCGAAAGATTAGAACATGTAACCTCCATATAAAAACGTTTGAAAAGGAGTTTATAGGAAAAAATTCTTAAACTGCGAGAAAAAGATGCGAACGTAATTTGTTACTTGAAGTAAAATACTTACACAAAGCCTTGTTTGATATGTCGAGCTTGAGAATTCTGTGGTAGTTCCATGGGTCAAGGTGGACCGAGCTGCGTAAACTTTATTTTCCTTTTAACATATCCCCTGAAAGACAAAGTACAAATATCATGTTAATATCGGACACAAACCATTGCACTCAGACACAACTTCGGCAAACGACTTCCGAGATGCGGATAATTAAAAATTGAATTCAAGTTTGAAACAATATCTTACCTTGGTATAATAACGAGCAGTTAGATTTCTAAGGAAGGCAAGTGCACGGTTTCCTTCTCATGATGGCTATTTGAGATTATAGAGAGGAAAGAAGCACAGAAAAAACTACCGTAGTTCAGTTTATATTTGTAACAAAATTTGTTTTGCGCCTGGACAAGTTTCAGTTTTGGCGGGAAAAAGCGTGCACGGGATGCCACTTCGCCGCGACAAATGATAAACCGTGGGGAGTGGGGCAAGGGACTTATTGGCTTTTTCCACGATTATTGCTCTTGCATCTATAATTTTAATTAAAAAAACTCAGTAATAAAAAGAAAAGAGGATAAACACAAACAATTGTCATGCGGGACGATCTATTCAGTATTACCAAGCTTTCACTTCTTTTCAGATATTCGTCACAACTTGGAGGAAAGCCAATAGTCTTAACCCTTAACTCCCATAAGTGATGAAAATGAAACTTCTCCCAATAATATCCATACATTATCCGGCAAACAGGTTATGAGAATACTCAAACTTATCAGGTAGAAGATGTTACCTTAATCTAACTCCAAATTCTCTCAACTAAATTACAAGGAAATCTGAAGAAGCTAGGAGGGAGAATTATGGACGAGATCTTTGGAGTTTTAGGGTTAAAATAGTTTGCCCGGAGAAAGACAAAAAAAAGAGTCATTAAAAAAAACCAAGATGGACAGAGGATGGTTAAAAACGGACAAGATCAATACGTATTGCAATTTTCAGCCTGAATCGTATACGCTATTATCTGCAAAATACGAAAGCCCAGTATCACGCTGTATATGATAGCTCTTTTAGGCCCCGTTTCGAAGGGTTGAATAAAGGCTTTCCTTTAGAAATATCAGGAATGCTCGTTGTTCCTTAGAGGGGTAAGATATAGCTGACTGCTAACGCGGAAGGTGATAGAAGTTACACTGGTAACTTCAGAAGTTGTCAAAGTATCTTTACGGAGTTCAATTACGTTTTCTAGCATGTTCAATTTCAGTAAGTACGACGAAGCTCGATAGTAAACGGCGCCGTTGACTATTTCGTTCCGTCTTACAAGATGAACGCCTAGGGTAGGCTATAGGTTTCCCATCTCAAGGAATTCATGAGAACCATTGCCACATTTGTCACGCAAATGCTTTTTTTTTCTGAATTTATATTTATTAGAATAAGTTGACTAAATATGGTAGACTTTCAAGCAAAAAATTTTAAGAAGGAATAGAATAGAGGTCTTTGACACTATTGACTACTAAAAACGTTGTCTGTGCCAATTGCATATCGTTTATGCGTTCCTGTTTGTTCTTATTGGAGGTTAGAGGGAAATGGGTCACGCCTATAAAGCAAGATTCTGGTATCCTTTTACCAAAGAGCACCCAATCATTAGGAATACCATCCTTCCACCCCCCCCCCCAAAAAAAAAATAAAAGAAAAAAATCCTGAGCTATGCTATTGGAGCAGATTGATTCCCCTGCCTAGGCTGGAAACTGGGGCACTGATCTCTAACATTTTATAAATGATTAATTAAAATCAGTTTAAAACTAACCAGACCATTTATTCTTCCTCTTAATTGCACAAAATACCAAAAACACAATCTTATTTTGAAATCTCAACACATGCAAAATAAACTTTGAGTGTTTTGTTCTTCAACACTTTGCACTGTCAGTTGAGTCTTTTTCAACTCAGAAAGCATATTAAAGGTTGATCCTTCTTCATTTCATGTTAAAATATTTCTTTGACGTAGTGTTCATCTTGTATAGTTGACACAGCCACTCATTCAAAGCAAGGCTTTGTATCATGTGGTGCTATGGCTACTGTTTTCCTTCATTGAGTATTTTCCTGTGATAATAATAACTTTATTTATAAAAGGGTATGTGTAAAACTAAATTAAAAAATAATCTATATATATTTGTTTGTGAATATATGAATCACAAGCCCTTACAATAGCATCACATTAAAAGAGAATAACAAAAATAATGATAATAATTCATGCACATAAGGTGCATTTACAATTTACGTCATCCAAAAAACAAAACAGAAAGAGTTTAACACAAAGTAACATATTCTCCAAGTTACCAACTGGCAAAAGGAACACACAGAGACACATACCACATCCCTTTTCAAAGCCAAATCCTTGCTAACTAACAAAAAGTCTAGATCATAGGAATATAAACCCTAAGAGGACAATCCACCAATTGACAAATGTCCAACTATAAGTACTGGTAATCAGAAAGATTTGTCTCTTGAAAATTTTGCCTACACAGGTAAGGATTGCAACAGAGAAGCTAAAGAAAAGAGGCAGTGTTAGTCTCTGGTCATAACCTTACACCCCAGGGGCACAAGAGAGGATTGATGATAAGAATGATGTACACTTGAATTTTGAAAGAATAGAGGATTTATCACACACTTACTAACTGAGATTGTTCCACGCAGTTGATGAAATCTCTAACTTTCTGTGAACACTTCAATGCCTGATTGGGATTCTGTTTGTAGCAATTAAGTACCTCATTCTTCAGGTGTTGGCAAGCTATGACCTTTGTTGGTACACTGTGATTGAAAAAAAGAATCAAGTTGGATATAAATTGACTAAAACACAATTGACTCACCCAGCACAAATGGTAAAATCACCTTACAAACTAAAGAGCCAATCATGTGAGAGTTCATGCCAGTTTTATTGGCATTTCCTGTGAAACATACTAATCACTTGGCAGAAACTTACCTGAATTTTTGTTTTGTCTCTTCTACAGCTTGATTAAAGTTTTCCAATGTCACTTCTTCCTTTTCTGAAATCTAACATCGATAAGATAACTGCATGTTTTAATTTTTATGTCAAAGCCAGCAAAGAAAGTTATTTTATGAAGTTATGTCTTAAAGTAGGGTTGTTTTCAAAGTTTCTTAAGTTTATAACATTACTGGTAGTTCACTTTTATATGGCTTGGAAAGAGGACACTAGAGCTTGTAAAAATGAAATTTTTACCACCATTACCTGTTTCTCCAAATTAGTAAGTTTTTCCAAAAGCCTATTTTCTTTTGTTTTTGACTCAGCCTCTTTCTCTTCTAACAGTTTTCTCCAGTGGTTGTCAATCTCTTGTACATCTTTGTCTCCTAATCTACCTCTGTTTTCTCTAAGCCTTTTAGCTTCAACCTGTCTTCCCTGAAAACAAAAAAAAATTAAATAACTGTAATTATAATTTACATTATTATTCAATGCATAAAAATATAGGATCAATATCAGTATCTGGACAACTGCCCACCTACCCCCCCCCTAACTCAACAACAGTCAATTGATGACAAGTTAGGGTTAATGTTGGGTTACGGGAGGGGTAGGTGGGCAGTTGCCCAGGTACTGATATTGATCCAAGATATGTAGTTTTTGGTGAGCACAATCAACTTCCAGATCCTACACAATAGAGTCCCAATATGTAGAGCCCTAATATGTAGAGAGATATTATGATGTTTCCATAATGTTTAAGGTTGTAGTAATTGCCCAGTAATACAACTCACCTCATCAAAAGCATTCTGCAAAATCTCTTGTAAATGTTCTTCCTGATGTTTCATCCTGACTTTCTCATGCTGCAATTCCTTCCAAATCGTATTGATGTCATCTATTAAGTTCAACATTATACAGAATGATATAACACAGAGTATTTTAGAAGATTGACTTCACTTTAAACAGCTATCACCAGCCATTGTCATCCTTAACAGACACCATAATGTACACACAGGGCATCTGTTATGAAAGAGAAGCTTGATCCTTGGAAAATCAAGGCTTTATTCAACAAAACCTCGTGCTTACATACTGTACAACATAAATATGGTGGCCTAACAAAAATAAGTCAGCTGACATGTATGGATTAAAAACTTTGCTGACATGTTTGCAGGCACTAAACTACACAGGAAGCCCAGTAATTAAAGATTAAATCATCACACTGTCACTACAGCATCCATTATCACTACTGAAATCTTCCTCCTTGGATGAGATGTGAAACAAAAATATCCTACCTTGGGTAACATCCTCATCACCTTTCAAGGGTAAGTCAATTTCTCCTCTGAGACGTCGTATGACCCGTTCAGAAATCTACATGTTTAGTGAACACAAAAGATGGATTTATTTCAGTGTCACAGAGCATGTCAAAACTTATCTGACTTTCAATCTGGTTGTTTCTCAGTCGCCAAAATCATGTGATAGGTGAACTTCACTAAGGGGTAAAATTAGCTGCAATCAAAGCATTGCAAAGAGTAAATTTTGAAAGCAGAATTGAAACTTTGACAAGGATTGTACCTGTGCCCGCATACTATGTGAGCACAGTAACCCTTCCACTCCTGCAAGTGACCAACAAGGAATTTCTCCTCACATTATCTATACATTTTCTGTGATGCAGAGAGGTTATGAGAGGGCTGAAAACATCAATAAGGCTTAGTTTAATACTAAATTCTCAGAAATATAATTATAAGAAATCTATCAGAGAACGGTATAGAGTCTGGGGAGTGAAAGGGAATAAAACCGGGTGAAAGAGCCACATGTTGGGGATGTAGCTCATTACAAACTTGTTAAACAGATGCACTTTTATAGTGGGTGACAATATTGGAGGCACTAATTTAATTGAAGAGTTTTTTCAAAAGAGACGTGTGCCACTTACATAGCAAGAAATCCGTGAAAGTAAATTAAATCTTGAACCATTTTAGAATATATTATAAGTTTTTAAAGTTCAAGAATATTGAAAGGCGCTGCAATATTGAAACGAGGCTGATGAAACCCAGTTCGCAATCACCTGTGTCACCTTTAAACTGTTTCTTACCTTAACAATTCCTGGGGTTCCTTCCTCTTCTGATCTCTCAACAGTCAATCTCTTTGTTGATTCACTGTTTCCCATGGCGTATTCTCATCCAAAGGTATTCAAGTATGTACTCAAGGTCTTCTGCCTATGAAGCAGCCATGTTGGATTACAGATGGTGCCCGAAATAATTTCTGGGCAGCGGACATATTGCCATAGAAACGGATTCCAGAGGCTCAGCGTGCTCGAATGTTTCTCTGTCTCCAAAAAGGGAGCTTGAAATTTTGTTATTCAAACTTCAATTTTTTATTTAAAGGGAAAGAGCAGGGTTTGGTACGATGAGTCGTTTGAATCCTCTTAAACCTGAAACATGTCGAAGAACAGTGAGCCTTGAAACAGTTCAACCGCACCATGTTAATCATGAACACAAACTTCGCGGAAAAAGGGAGATTTACAAACTGCGCAACGATGCATACGCGAAGCCGATGTACGGAAATTCGGCGGAGAAAGAAAGAGTCAAGTAAGTCGTTATTAAAATCAAGTTAACTTTTTAAAGGTTGTAAAAATGTTGTTAACCACTCCTGTTGAAGTGGCAGCGAATCAAACAGTAAATTTTAATGAACCTCCGTCACCTGTAAAGAACAGTTGTCTGGTTTAATGTTGGTAACAACTTCCTGTGCAAAGATCCTGGTGTTGGGGGTTCTCCCTATTATCTAATGCTACTGTTATACATAGATTTTAATAAAATAACAGCAGAGCGGAAATTTTTGAGGATTTCTTTTAGTTTTACTGCGCTGATCGTGTCTGTTGTATTTCAAGGGGGATTGGAACAATCTATTGCGCAGATCAAAACCCTTCAATGATCGACGATTCTGAAAGGAACAACAAATGGATTGTTCCACGGTCGTAGTGAAAAGAGTATGATTATGCCTCAATATTGCGCTCCCGATTAATTACAAGTCTAACAATTTTGAACGCGAGTGAGCCCGACAGCGCCTGCGAGTATATCACCGCGGTGGCTTTTGAACCTCAATCATGCCTTTCTTTATCGCGAGTTATTAAAATTTAATGACTTATTCTTCATTCATTCATTCATTCATTCATTCATAACTTCTTCTAAACATAATATTTCTAGGCAAGAGAGTCGTAGAGCACTGTTGCAACAAATGAAAGAAAAAGATGAGGCCCACCAAACACACCTGACTGAAAGGATAAAGGAAAGTGACTTTGCTATAAACTATGACAGGATCTGCTTACAGCAGGACAAGGAAGAACGAATCAGTAAAGAGAAATATCTGCAACAGTTTCGGAATGAAAACAAGCGGGTAAGCATATTTAATTTTCCCCTTGATAGTTTTTTTGTAGTTGGCCAACCTGCGTAACTGCCTCAACTTCATTCCCAGATCAGAGCAAAGGCCTGGAGTCTAGCGCAACAATCTTTAGGCACCTGTCTCCCTTAAAGAGCAAAGTGATTACATTTTAACCCTTTACACCCTAACATCAGTATGCATATTCTTCATACTGTTCTTTATACATTTCCTAAGGTGCTGACAGGGAGAATTTGTTTAACAATCAATCACTTCTTTTAGTTGGTGATGATTTTTTTGATTCTCTTGACCTTACTGTGTGATTCAGGGGTGATATTGAAAGGAGAAATTAGATGCTAGTTGCCCTTAGGGGTTAAAGTGTTACCAGGGTAATTTAGTATTATCAACTGAATTCATAACATAAATTGGCCATCATAAAGAGTTTCAAAGCTGATGTTTCAAGTGTTAGCCCTTCACTATTCACTCTGACAAATGGCTAACACTTGAAACCTTATTCTGTCCCACCGAAGCAGCACCAAAATTTCTTTAGAAACTCAATTATGTTTTGATCCCTTTAAAAGTTATGTTGCTCTTTTTGCTTCAGTTGATGGAACTGCGTGCAGAACAACAAAAGAGAAACACAGAGAAGAGACATTTGGAGGAAAGGGACCTTCTACAACAGAGCCCAATCAACTGGAGTCACACTCTACACTAAAAGACATTCATAATTAATATAAATGGCACCAATTTGAACAAGGAAAATTTGCTTTTTATAGTTTATTGATTTTATTTGTGGTGTGTTCATAGCCAAAATGACAGCTTGTTAAATGGAAATCACAGGACTGGTGTACTTCAAATAAAGCTACATCTGTCCACAACAAAAGAGAATTCAACCAAGACTAAGCTTTTCAAATGGAGGTTTCTTAGAGTGTTTCTTAACACACATATGTTAAGAATATTAATGAATGATGAATTTAAATGTAATAACTTAATTTTTGAGTTCCAATAATAACTAAATTTATTTTTTGAGGCACCATATAAAAATGTTACAATTCAACTTTCAAATAATTTCAAGTGCTTTGAGGCATTCTAACATGAAAAGTTTTGGAAAATAATTTCTTTGAGTATGAGAGCCTATGTCAAATACATTTAATTTGTAATCTCCCTTCTGGGACACTTATTCAAGGGACACAAATTGTGACCCAGTCTGGAAATAATGTTCCTACAACTGTCCTCTGAATTTCTGACTTCTGAATTTAGGAGACATCTCTCCTTCAACAAGACATCTCTGTGGAGGAGAGACTTTACCAAGCTGTAAGCATGTTTGTGGGATGTAGGTTCTGTTGTAAGATTGTTATAGCACATGTGAAATAAGTCTCAGTGATAGCAATAAAAGATGTGCGCACATCTTGCTCCATTGATCACTGATTTCCAACCAATCATGCGCCGATGTCTGCTTCTCTATCAGGTCAAAGTTGAGCAGTGACAACCTTAACTTGAGTCACAGCATGGTCAGTTATTTCTCTTCACCTAATTTATTCCTCAATATGTTCTTGCTCTTGGTGCTCCTGTGCATCACTTGAAGGACCAGGAGTCTATGAATTTAACAGCCATTTTTGTAATTATGCATTACAAAAAAATTACCATCCTTAATATTTTAACAATAATTACATCTCAAAGGCATATACAGGCTTATATTCTATTGTCAAACAAGCTGTTATTACCTGTTCATTTTTCTTCTCTTTTTCCTCTCCTTTTTCAACCAAAAATGCCCGCGTCATTTCCAATGTCTTAGTAGTCTTGTATCTGTACTTTAACTGTTTTGATTCACTGCTATCATTTGATTCTAGGAAGTGAAAAGATGGGAAACAGTTATTTAAATAGTCACCTCTTTAGGTAGACTCAAAGTTACAAACAAAAGGAAATGAAGAAGACAGAAAAATATATTCATTGTTAGCTTTAGGTTCCCTACATCTGATTGATAAATACACCCTTCTAGCTGACATACATTTCCTTGTGAATAGGTTGTGAGAATTTGGTATTTTCATCAAGACAAAATTTCAGTCTTGCTTGCTGAGAACATGTTGACTTTGTATCTTGCTGATAATATGTTGACCTTGCATGTAAGGATCAGTGACATGCTAACCACTTAACCCTTTAACTCCCATGAGTGACCAAGGCAGAATTTCTCCTTACAATATCAATACAATATCAAGCAGACAAGTAATGAGAACAAAAAAAAATATCAATTTAAGGATTACAAGAGGATCCAATAACAAATTCTCCACACTAACATCACAAGAACTGTATGGCAGACAGTAAGAAGAATTACCAATGAGATCTTGGGAGTTAAGATGTTAAGAGTGAGAGAGTTAGAGTCAAGCTTTCTGATGCTAAAACAATGTACAAAGATGTTAGTCATGCTTTAACTCTAAATACCAAATGTTTATATTTTATTTTTCATTAGTTTAGGGTCTTGGCTTGTACTTGCGATCAGCTTATTGGCAAGTATATACAGTGGTCATTTAAATATAAAAAATTACTCTTAAAAGGACCATGTAACATTACCAAGCTCCTCAAACAATACATGTGTTCCAAGGGATTCTGAAAAAAAATGCCAGTGGTGAGAATTGTACAAATATTAGTATGGAAGTGATCCTCATAGTTATGAACACTACTTAAGTAGTAGTAAAAATAAGGCCTAAAAAAAATTCAGACTTGTACGGGATTTGAACCCATGACCTCTGTGATACCAGTGCAGCGCTCTACCAACTGAGCTAACAAGCCAACTGGGAGCTGGTCATTATGTTGGTTTCAAATGAAACCTTGAAGTGGTGAATAAATGACTGTAAATATATGAAAATCATATATGTGACTTCAGTTGATGGTTCAGTTTCTATTTTTCTTTAACCTAGAAGCAATTTGGGGGATTATGCTAAAACAAACACAAAGATTGTCCTACCTTTAAACTCTCCAAGAAAAGTGTAATTCCCAATTTGTAACACAGGTTCATCTGTATCAATGCCCTAGGAATCAAATTTCAGAAAATGTCAGATAATGTCATGATCACGTATTACATTTGAACAATTGCCACTTGGCATAAAAAATTGTAGATCTTTATGAGGTCTTACACAATTAATTAATAACCTTTTGACCCTTAAGAGTGACTAGTATCTAAATTCTCCCTACCATATCACTGCTGAATCACACATTATGGTCATAAGAGTAAAGGAAATGATCAACAACTAAGGAAGCTCTTCACACAAATTCTCCTTGTCAGCACCTTAGGAAATACATAGATGACAGCATGAAGAATATGCATTCTGATGTTAGGTTGTAAAGAGTTAAACCCCAAGTACCATGAACTACCCATAAAAAACGAATTACGAGTCGCCATCAGAACTGTGCGCCAAGCATTAACCATTAGCAGGGATGTACACAGGACTTCCAAGTAATGTTGGGAAAAATTTCCACACAGCCCCATCCTACATTATGCATTCAGTTCTTGGATAGAGAAAACAATGACAAAACAATACATTACCATTGGGAAAACAGATCTGTTTTACAGTAGTATGGGGCTGTGCGGAAATTTTACCTAATGTTGTCCTATGTTGAGTTCTAACAGTGCATTGGCCACAGTGGGATATCGTTAAGTTCAGTCAACACTCACCAGGAGTCGGCAGTTTGAAGACTCGCAGCTGTACAAGAACTCATTATCTATCACTCCTTGAAGCTTGACTACAACAAGATGTTCCTATAGTTGAAACACACAAGATTCAGGTATTCAAGACATAACCTTTATTTCTATACCTGAGCTTTAAAGATTGTTAAAAAGAACTTAAGGTACCTCTTCCTCCCATTCTTCTTCAGTCATCACAAGAATAGCTCTGTACAACTAAAGAATTAACCTTGGAACAATAATGTAGTACCGAAATGCAAATATCCCACCGACCGTGCAGATCCAAGCAGGCGAAATGTTGAATTCTTAACTTGTCCGCGGGAAACTGGGATTCTAGTTGTCCCAGACTCTTCGAGGAAAATGTGTAACGCCTGTCAATTTATTTACTTCCTCTTTCATTTTCGCTGATTCGAAGATTTAAGGGAGCGGAAAATCATCATGTATCGGTCACATGTAAGTGTTTGATGTTCAAATTTTTAGGTTAATAAACCCAGTGAAAGAAGGTATTACAAATGACCAAAATCAACGTATTTATCACTGTAAATAAGCTTTACTTGTAAATTGTAACATTATCATTGTAGGGCTAATTCTCGTCCTTCACAAGTTCATGGAGCTGTGTTACTTTATAGACGATCTTTATGAGGCCAGATCTTTTCCCAGTTTTGATTTTTTATAACCGTCTTGTACCCTAGAATGGATTCGCCCATTGTTTTGACAGACGGAAGTGTTTTGCTTTCAAATCTACGTATTCGTTTGTCTACGCGTTTTCTCATCGTTTACAAACCAAACAAAAAAAAGTCGATTGGATATCAACTTAAAGTTACTTAATTTTTAATCTGTTGTTACGAGAGCTGTCAGTTTAAATTTTGACGCCCAATTCAATAACAAATTAAAATTAAGATTTGGTTATTGTATTTTTATCCCATATCTATGAGGCCCTGAAATTGTTGAATTAATACTTTATCTTACAGGTGCTCCTATTTATTTTATGGAAATCGTCACGCCTTTTGAATAACTTATTATCAAGAATGTGTGATATAAACCTTTGACCCCTAGAATGACTAGCATTTCTCTTGATAGTATCACCGCTGAATCAAACATTATATAAGGTCACATGAATTAGGAAATGATCATTAACTAAAGAAGCTCTTCATTTTTAGACAAATTCTCTTATCAGCACCTTATGGAATGTATAGAGAACAGTATGGAGAATATGCATACTGATATTAGGGTGTAAAGGGCTAAGGGGAGTGACATTATATCATTGAAAATAAGGGAGACCAACACTTAATATCATTAAAAATAAGGCAGAGTTTAAGTAATGGTAGATTATATTACTTCTTCAATATCAAACAATATTTTAAAGAAAAATATTGATGGATTTGATAATGTACAAATGCAAAATTGGCCAGGAGAAATGAGATTTCTTAGTTTCTAAGATGTTTCAAGTGTTACCCTTTGTCAGAGTTAAAGATAAAGGGCACACTCTTGGAAACTCTTAATTGTAGCTAATTTATGTCATTAACTCAGTTGATCAACCAGATTGTCACGTTACAAATGACTCCCATTATTTCAGACATCCTTAGGGGGAGATTTAGGGTGTGTAAGAACATGACTCACTAATAGTGGAGTGTGAGAAAAAAAAAATTGTTTTCGTCTCTAAAAATATGAGATAATATGTAACTAATTATAAACATGAAGTTACTAACATGCAGTCTCGTGAGGTGGAAAAAGATCTGGCTGCACCTAATTAAAGAATGGTTTCTTCATTTGCCTTTATCCTAGTATCAAAGTGCTTTGTAAGTGTTTACTATAGTGATAGAAAAACATGTGAAATGTTCGGCAGGAGGACATGAAAGTGTCTGCATTTGCATAAGAGTGAGTGTTGGTAATAGCAGAAGTTATTTCTTTAATATGTGTTTCACAGGGGAGCTATGCAGTACCACAGTTTCTTTAGAAACTGACCCCCTTCATTCATTTGTATTTTATATAATGCATATACTCCTTTTCCTGTAGAATCCCAGTGCCCCAGGAATGCATAACATAGGAAGTTCACCAAGTGACAGCCATGTGAGGGTTTCATACAAAGACAACCCTGGATTTTTTAAGCAAGTGCAGGAAAGCTTCTGTGCATCCCTGTTTGGAATTCTTCTTGTTATTGTTTCATTTCCTGTACTTTATTGGAATGAGGTGAGGATAAAAGCTCTTAAGGGCAGTATAAGTAGTCCCTTTTTAATATAATACAGGAAATAAAGAAGTACTAAATTACAGTTACTGGTCAGGAATAGTTATTATTGATTATTTTGTTTTTGTTTTCCCTTGCATCCAGTGTTGTGGATGTAACTCTGCTAGTGCAATATGAACACGTGGATGTTTATATTCAAATTACCAATACAATAATCAAAGACTGATAATACAAAAGAGCTTAACCCTTTAACCCTTAAGAGTGATTAGCACCTAATTTCTCCTTACAATATCATCCTGGAATCATACATCTAGGTTACGAGAATAAAGGAAATGATCACCAACTAAAAAAACTCTAGATTGTTAATCAAAAATTCTCCTTTTCAGCACCTTAGGAAATGTATAGAACATAGTATAGAGAGTTTGCTTACTGATGCTAGGTTGTAAAGGGTTAGTAAGGTGTAAAAACCTGCAAATTTACTGTAGACATGTTCTTAATACAAAAGAAATGATTACACTTCACTTGACAGGGAAGGGCTGTTCAAACAGCTCTATCATTGGACGAGGGTCTGAGGCAAGTAGTCCATATTCATTACATTGACCAAGTTAGTCCTGAATATCAGGATAAACTGGTTCACCTCTCTGGAAGTCTTCAAACAGAAAGGGTGAGAGTGATGTCTTTTCTTCCTTGAGTCTGTCTGTTGCAAGACAGCTTAAACACCCCTGAGATCTTATGGCTGATTTTTCAAAATGACTTAACTGATTCACTCCTAGGATCTGATTATTAAATCTCCATTCTGTTTGCTGTTCATTTCTATTAATTATTTTTTATCTGAGAATTTAGTGTTTTAAGTGTTACTTCTGGTCACCTCTGTGCTTAAAAATGTATTGGTATTGAAGGAGAAATGCATTTTTGGTCTGGGTTGGGGTGAATGGTTATCAAAACCATATAAAAAAAACAACTTTGAACTAAAAATTTTCCTACAATCCATTGCCTAACTGTTTGGTAGTGTTTTCAAAAATGATCTTGTATATCAATCTTAAGTAGGGGTGGGTAGGGGAAGAATAAGTGAGCTTCATGAGACAACATCTTCAACTTGGTTATCCTACCTGGTGTAGCAGGACAAACCTCTTGTGTTTTACAAAGCCGTATGTTATCAAATTAAATAATAACTTTGTAAGATATTGTTATAGTTCTCATCTTCTTTTATTATAACTGTAATATATATTATCCCAAATACTATAATTTTATACATATTATAATATTATAAATCATACTACCAGTTCATATCATTTTTAATTACTATTCTGGTCAGGTGCTGAGTGATTCAGACTATGGCATTGCAGTCAAAGCTGTCAAACTAAGACGAAAGGTTGAAATGTATCAATGGGTGGAACATAAACACACCAGGTATTAATCAACCCTGGAACTCTCCTGATCTGATCTTCTTTTTGATTCCTCCTTCTTCATGTACATGCTATTCTTTTCCTTGTAAATCAGTTAAAAAAATGTATCAGTGGTGTACTAACCTGAGGCAATAGAGTTCCATTAAGTGAAAAGCTTCAACTGAACTCATTACCGGTTTGCTGATAAATAAAGACATAATGAAACTGTGAGAACAGTGTCACTTATATTTATGGTAATAGAACCAATTCTGTCTTAAATCATATGAGGGATAAACAAAATGTGATGGCCTAAAGATGGGGGTCTCATTTGCCATTCATATAGTACTACATAATATTTATTGTGACCATAGCAAGTTATTGTAGTTTTTTTTTTCACCTTCTCTATGGACCACCATATACACAGTCAAGTGATTGTAATGTTGTAAAATATTGATAAGAATGTTTTCAAGGTATCACTGAAATTTCAGGGAATATGATGAAGGAGGACGAAAAAGAGTAGAAACAACCTTCTCGTACAGTAAGTTTGATGAAAGTGGTGTTCTTATTTCAAAAGTTAAAAATAATAGCAAAAAGAGATTTTTTAACCAACAATTGATTGCTAGAGAGGCAAAGCAACTCTCTCTGAATAATTTAGGGAATATGACATATTACAGGTTCAAATTTAGGACATCTGCTGAAATAAATGATCAAGGAAATTATGAAGGAGAACATTCTCATGACTGAAGGTGTGCAGGAATCTATGCAAAACATGTTCTAGTCTGACTGTAATATAATTAGTAACAGCTTGTCTTTGACAAAAGTTATAACTTTTTTTAACAATCCTGACCCAAAATGTGATCCTAAGTCGCTTGTTATGGACAGCTGAAGCTTATCACATAGCATCATGTGACTAAAAATATTTCCACTCCTCATGTATGGCATGTAGGGTATCCTAGTCTTTCTTGAGTAAATTCCAAGTAATTGGGATTACCACCTGTCAAGTCCCCCTCCATGCCCAGGATAAAGATAATTCACTTGTGAGACCACAGGGTCTTTCCCTAAGAACACTGCACAGTAACCCGATCAGCTTGGCTTGACCCTGGTCCTTTCAAACTAGAGTCAGGCACATAGTATCTCCCAAAGTTGCATGGTTAACTCCTGTGAATGACCAAGATAGAATTTCTCCTTACTATATCTATACAATATTATGCAGTCAAGTGATGAGAATTCTGGAAAAATATCAATTATAGGATTACTAATTGATCCAATACCAAATTCTCCAAACTAACATAGTGAGAATTGTTTGGCAGAGAGTAAGAAGAATTACTAATGAGATCTGGGGAGTGAAAGGATTAATACACAAACCTTTAACTGTCTGTGAGAGACATGACCCAATGGTTACATGTAAGTCTTATATCTGCTTATTTTTGTCTTACAAGATAATTTTAGTTTTATCAACAGGATTGATAATGTAAATTGGCTACTGAAAATAGTTTCACATAGTTTTATCAAGTTTTCAAACTCTTTACATTGGCCAGTTTACGTTATTAATTCAATTAATAAAACCCAAATTATCTTGTTATACTATCCCAACAATGCAGCACCTACAATTTCCTTAAAAGTTTACCACCTTTATACATTTATTCTTGTCTTGACTTCTTGCAGCTACCGAGTGGAGAGACATCATTGTCAGAAGTGATAGTTTTGATAACCCTGCTGGGCATCAGAATCCCAACACTATGCCAGTACAGTCATACACTAAAGAGGCAGACTCTGTGAGAGTTGGGGTATTCAGTCTTTCCAAAGGTATATTTCGAAAGAAGATCAGTTACTGTCCACAGGAGTAGGCAAGATTTTGTATTAGGGGAGCAACACCTGTATCATGCTTTTTATCTTTTTTTCGTTAGGGCTTATTGGAAAAATAGATGCTTTCCAGCCATTGAGTCCCCGAGAAGTTCCTCAAGGAAAGATGATGAAAATCCATAATGGGATGTTTTATCATTTTATGGACCCATTTTATCCCAGAGTAAGTCGATTCGTGTTGAAGTCTTGCGATTGCATAGTTGTGAGTGGCCATAAGACTGTTGGGACTGACCAATCACAACTGAGCAGGCCATTTGGGTAGCCAATCACAACTGACGACAGCAGCTACATAACTAGAGTCAGCCAATAACATGACAGCAAAACTGACCGATCAGTCTTCACCAAAAAGCGCTACAACATTTGTGTGAAAGCAACCATTCGTTTGACTTACAATCCCTTTCCTCGCAGGTTGTTGAAACATTAGTCAGTGTCACCCACTCTAACAGTTCTTTCCAGGACCACTCTCAGCCGGACGATCATGCCATACTATACATATCTTATGAGACATTTAGAGTATTTTTATGAGTTGTGCCGTACTTTGATGAGTAGGGCTCGTAAAATACAAACAACGAATAAAAATACTCAGCAATACTACACACCAAAACGTCTTATAAGTTATCTATTATCCAATTGCTTTTTTTCTGCTAAGTCTTTCAGTTCATTTCTCGTAAGGCACGAAAAGCAAAGTGGATTTAGAAGCGTAGCGCGTGCAGCTGACTGGTTAAACAGGTTTTTTTACAGTACAAAATAAACAACTGTCCAAATAACCATACAATATCACAGGATATTTGTACTCTTTTTATGCGTTATTTGTACTCTACTTTGTGCAGTTGGATAATAACAGTTGTTACCCTATCCTAAAATTGCTTTGGCAAGCTCAGCAGTTGCGCGTACGCAACAGTTACTTTTAGTTATTCAAAGATTACGAAATTATGGTTGGCTTTAATTTTTTATTACAGCCTCTTGCATGTTGGAGGTTGCGGAAAAATTGAAACTGCATCTATTTCGCATTGTTCTTGCCGCAACTTGCCATGGTTAAGATGATAATTAACCCATGAAATATAGGCTATTGGAGTTGTTAAATCCTCATTTTTCAAATGGCCTTAGAACAATGATGTTTCACTACTTTAGTACTACGTTACAGAATGGTGTGATTATTTTTAATTGCTTCGAAATCACTGTGGTTTTGAGTGACCATGCAAAGACCTTCTCTCTTTTGATTTGCAATATTTGCTCAAGCTACTAATTAAAGACCCTGAAACCCAAAAATCATGAAGCAAAAACTATGTCTAAGGTTATTTCATAAGTCCTAATTCTCACTAAAACATAGCAACTCTAGATCTTCACTGCTGGGTGTTAGTTCCTCCTGTTGTTCGTCAGGCCTTGGTTGAGCCTCTCCATGTTATTCTGCACCATTCGCTGTTTCTTCCTCCCTTAGGTGTCGTGAATTGAAAGCCCTGCCCGGTCACATTGGCAAACGGCCTTCTGAAGCAATTTTTCCAGCTAACGCCTTTGGTTAATTTTATGTTATATAGAAATCACATAATTCGTGTATTGAATTAAGGTCCAAAAATACTCGATCATAGGCAAAGTAAAACCACTGAGAGTTCCTATGAACAATTTTAAACGTATTTTATCAACAGGTGGGAGATGTGCGTGTCCAGTTTTCCTATGCTGGGCTTAGTGGGAAGCCAGGCTCAGGTTTGGGAGACCCAATGAAGGTACCGTTCTCTCATAACTCCTCTTTTTTTATGTACATTTGTGCAATAAGTAGCATGAGGCGAACATAATTCAGCTTATCTTATGAATAGTACCTCTTCCCTGCCAGAGCTAAATCCTAATTGCATCTCACCTTGTACTACAATTTTTTTGGCAATTCCTCTTGTTTGTGTTGATGCTGACATTTTATAAACAGTTGTACCCTTTTTAGAATGACTTATCAGTTAGTGCTATTTCGCTTCAGGTTAGTATTGTAGCTCGACAGCAAGGTGGAAGATTATCACATTATCACACAAGATCTGGCGATTCATTGGAGCTCCTTTATCCTGGAGAAATGAGTGCTGAGGTGAGCCAACAGCACGGAATTTTTTGTTATGCCCAGAGGATTCTCTTTATTTGAGTATATCCTTGTCTCTTTATGGCCTAAAACCAGACAGTAATAAAATATTACCTGAACACTCAACATGATAGCGAAATCGTAATTTGTACCTTTAAACGAGAAGACTTGCTTTCCTGTTCCTTTCCCTTGAGAAATATCTCAACTGATTTCAAGGATTGTGCTTCCCGTTTCAGGCAATCGTTAAGAGGATGCAGGCAAAAAAAGAAAGTGCATGAAAACAGCCGTTCCCTTACAAGCGCTGTTTTTCGTCTGTCTGCTCTTTTTGTTGAGGCGGGTTACATTCTTGGTTCATGTGAAACAAGCATTCTCCATACTGTAAGGATCAGTAACATCAGCAGTGGCTAAAACATTCAATGTAAAAATACAGTAAATGCCGGTATTACGTTTGCTAAAATTGATAGATTGACTGACTGATTGTTTCATTGTAGGAGATTTTTGAAGCCGAACAGTCCGCCAACACAGCTTTAACATGGGTTTTAAGAGGAGTAGGCTGGGTCCTGATGTTCCTTGGATTTCAGATGATGACCAGTATTGTTGTTGTACTGAGTAAGTGACCACTTCCGTTTAAAATCTAGATGACTGGTGGAAAACATTTACCTTATATCACTATTATAAAGAACTCTGTCCTTTGTTTTTTTCCAGTCTCCTGGTTGCCTGTTGTCCGCGAACTCGTGGGCCTGGGCCTAACCCTCTTGTGCCTTTGTCTTGCTACTTCGTTGTCTCTGGTTACCATAGCAATTGGCTGGATAGCTCATCGACCAATTCTGGGCATGACATTACTGGCGGCAGCTGCTGTTCCAATACTTCTGTCCAGACGACGTGCACAAGCTCTCAATCAAAGGAAACACTAAAAAGTTTATTTAAATGCGAACGTTATTAGGGAAGTCATTTGTAGCGTCGTTAGTCACTGAACTAGGGGGTATTATTTTAAAAGGACTATAGACAGTGTGACTTCAAAAAATAAAATTTCTGTATCGGTGTTCATTATTCAGACCTACACAGTTTAGGCCACACTAGCGTGAAAATGATAGAAAGTTACATTTAGATTCAATGTTTTGGATGTAAAATATAACTGATATGATTAAATTAGGTAAAAGCAAAGGCAACAAAGTGCTCATTGCAGCTGTTGTTGGGTTTTTGGCACACAGCAAATTCTCTACTCTAAGAAAGAGCACTTTGTCTGAAGAGTGTGAAGACAAAATAGTTGATGCGTATGGGACAACACTAATATTTCATGTCTTTGTTGGACATGTTAAAAAAAGGAAAATAATAAAAACGTAAGCTACTAAAGGAGTAATGGAACAAAGTATAAAAACCAGTGACTGAGATTGAAAATTAATTATTTAGAGTTTTCATGCAAGAGCAAATCCTAGTGCAAGGATTGGGAGAAACTTCTGAAAATACAGCAGTCAATAGTCACTATGAATGAATTATGCAATGAGTGCAGGATCAGTTAAGCCTCTGCAGCATGCAGCAGTTGTGGTCAGAGGGAGTTTTACCAGAATTTTATCGTATGATGCCCCTGCTTAAGTTAAGTGTGTAATGCAAAGTGTCTACTTCCTTGATCGTGAAAGAAAGGTTTGGAGAAATAGAAAAACTTATAAGCTATTCCTCAGCCAACATCCGGTTCACAGTGGAAATATAGATCAGCTAGTGTCTTGCTAGCATTTTAAGACCAGTCAGTTGACTTGCTATTTTAAATGATCACTTTTCCAGGACTATAGAGTGACTTAAGGTCACATTGTAAGCGTGACATGCAACTAATCGAATTTATTACGATGCCCTAGCCCTTACAATTCAATGATGGAAACTAGCAAGGTTTGACTTATAAATAATGTCAACATCGATATTGGTATATTCATCCTCGGGTAAAAACATCTTTTCAAAAGAAAGTGATAAGATCCCGTTATCATTCCTTGAGGTGGGTAGGTGAAGTGAGAGACAACCTCCTAATTCTGTTACCAGTATAAAGGAAAAGGCCACTGACAAAACAAGCTCAAAACAAGTTTAATTCTCCTTGCCAGCACCATAGAAAATGTATAAAGAACAGTATGGAGAATATGCATACTGATCTAAGGGTGGAAAGGTTTAAAAGAACTGCTGCAATTTTTATTCTTCTCATTGGGGATACACCCTTGATTTGCATTCTACACATCCATTCTTTTCATGGTACCATTCTTTAGCCAAGGGTGGCTCATTAATTCAACCATTTCTTTAGCAGCTGCGAATCAAGTCTACCTGTCTATCTAATAATAGTAGTCTCTTTTCTCTCAAACTACCACAGTATCTATTTAGTCCAGTCCTAAACTTTTCCTTTGGTGCACAATGAAAGGGTATGATCTGGGTAGCCATAACTCTTTAGCTGTGCCACTTCAACCTGTACATTGGATACAGGAGAGTTAAGGAAATCAATTGCCCTTCACCTTAACTTCCAAGAACTGACTGTTAATTTTCTCCCCTAGCTGCTAAAAAATATCCTTGTAAATTAGTATGAGAATAAGATAACTTGTTCCCGATAAGTTTTAAGTATTATTGTTACCTATATGATGATGTATGGATGTTATGGGGAGAAGTTACTTGTTAATCACTTCTGGGAGTTTAAGGGTTTAACCCATGGGCTACTGTTCAGCACTTTCAGTGAATTTTCACTCATTTTAAACCTTTCCACCCTTGTTAAGCAACAAAATTTACATGAAGGAAATACCAACTAGGTTGTATATGTAGATGTTAAGTACAAAGACATCTAAAAGACCCACACCAAACACAATACACCAGGAAGAGTTATTTACATCTTTTTTTATTCCACAAACAAAAGCTTAAGATTCCATATTCACAGCTTTTCCACCTTGGCGCTTGTTATGCTTCTTAGCAAAACGCAAGTTTCTCAGGAGTTTCGGGTCAACCTTAAAAACAAAAAGCAAATATGAACAACAAAAGTTAGCCTCTAGGATGACAAGAAAAGAAATTAATCATGGTCATGCTTTGCCCACCAAACAGGTAAATTATTTGTATGACTAAGAACACAACCTCAAAAACTATTTGTCAGAGAATTATATGGGTAATGAACAATTATATTTCCAGAGAGTCTCTATGTCTGAAAATATCAAGTTCGATGGTAAAATTTACTCTTAATTAACTCTTGCTCCAGAGCATGCATTAGCAAGTGAAAATTTAGAGTAAAATCCATTCAGGGGAGCATTCACCACTACTCATAATTACATGTAATATAAAATGACGAAATAATTTATAGCTGAGAGCACAGAATTTCAAAAGTGTTTGTGTGGACTGTTAGTAGTTGTTTAGCTCAGATTGTCTTGACACCTACATCAGTGAGTGAAGATTTCAAGTTTAATCATAACCATTACAAATTCTTCAATTCTTATTGGTGTCTTCCCAGCTTCATTTTTCACTCATTCATTACAGTTGTAATTGGACAGTGTAATCTGTCCTCTCAGCTAAATCCACTAATCACAGAATTGATCACAATAACCATAGCAACAACCACTTATCCAAAGAAAAACTAGGCAATTTTCAAAATTGTAGCCACAGGGGATATTTGCTCTAAGTGTATTTGTTCTTTTGGAAATTGCAATGGTTATGATTTATTGGTAACAGGATTTTGTTGTCATCCAATTCTGTGTGTAATCATACTCATGATAAACAAATCCGACTCCCACTTCGCAGTTGTCTGATTTTGTCAATCACTCATATCATTGCAGACCGAACATTATAAATCCATTAAGTGACATATTTATAGCTCACTCATAATTACAAACACAGAAACATGAATACAATTCTATAGCTGAAAGCACAACATTATTAAAACTGTTTGAGGGGACTGATTTATTATAACAATTTTGGGAAAGAAGAACTCAGCCATCTGATTGCACATTTCAATGAGCGTGTACAAGTCAAGTCAGACAAGTGCCTTCATAGAGAAATCTTAAATAACCCTTAGTATTTGGTGGGAATGTACCTTAACCCCTTCCCTCCCAGAAATAATAAACATAAAACTTCTTCCTATAATAATTTCACATTATTCAGCAAACCAGCATGAGTACTCAAACATTTCAGGTATAAGTTGTTATCCTGATCTAACATCAAATTCTCAAAACCAATTTACAAGGAAATGTGTTGCAGCTAAAAGGGAGAAATAACACTCAGATCTTGGGATTTCAAGGGTTAAGCAGTGGTTAGCTCTAGAGATTCATTAACCCTGCAACTCCCATGAGTGACCAAGTGATGAGATTAAAGAAAAATGTAAATTGGAGGATTATTTGTTGATCCAATGCAAAATTCTCCAAACTAACATTCTCCGAATTTTAAGGCAGACAGTGAGGAGAATTACTGGTGCAATCTTGGGAGTGAAAGGATTGAGTAGTGTAGGTCATATTTTCCATATTTAATTGTCCATGCAGTTACATCTACATTTCTATCCAAATTCTTTTCACACAAACACAATGCTGTTTACGAATGAGCAAGTCAAATATGGTGCACTCTAGGTACAGGATGTTCATTACTTCTCAAAGGTCATAAAATTATTCCATCACTGCACAGAATTCTCCAGTTCAATTTCAATAGCCCAATCACGGAGAATATTCCTTAGTCACTTTACACTGTTCCTCTCATGACATTTCTTTACAAATTCCTTTTGTGGAGTAGTCACAGCCAATTTTGTAGGTGCAAGTGCCTTTTATTCAAAGTGATATCTTTATAACTTAAATCACAGAGAATGTAAAGTTTGTATGGGTCAAGGATTGCCCTGCAGAGCCAATACAAGCTTTCAAGTTAGGCTGTTCCTTGAGGTTTCATGTAACCAGTAAGGCTTCTTGTCTTAATCAAACTGCAGTATGCTATCAAAAGTTTGCATATCAGATTGGAAGTGACTACACCATAAGACAAACAATTATATTTCCTTGTTATAATTGTAATTCACCAGCATAAATGACCACCAACTTTTCAACACCAGGAAATTGACAGGAAGTCCTTGATGCTATATATTTCGAAAATACAGCACTCGTGTCCACAAGTTACTTTAGATCATAAGCACTCTACCTATCCTTCTACATTCATCACTAAAATCAAAATTTTCAACACACATCTTCGTTTAAGACCATCGAACTCAAGTATCGATCGAGGTAAATAATTGCACATAAAAAGGGGTACATACGTACGATTTCTGTATTTACTGGGTCACGCAATGTAACGCAAATTTGGAGTCACATAATTATGGGTTCTACTTTCCGCTAATAACGACAGCTTTTACAGGACTCGAAGTTTGCGCTATAACCGTGCACAAACTAACATTAAAAAGAGGTATTTAAAAAGAGGTAAAACTATTTCATTCTGTAGAATAACAACTTAAAATCATCGGTAAACGTACCCCTTTCAAAGATGGAAATCGCTGCTTCTTGGGCTTTTTGATTCCATTTCTGTGCCATTTGTGGCCTAAAAGAGCAAACAAAGTGTATCAAATTGAAATAAATATGCCATTAAGACTTCAACTCGCTGAAATAAACTGAAACACAAGTTACACTGGTTAAATACTCACCTTGATTGTGGTTGGTGTGATTCTTTGACTTCGCCATATCAAGACGTGAACAATCTCGCCAAAATCCTACAAATTTTGCCAAAAATTGGTTAGTTCAAAGGCACTTTAACACTTTAATCACTGAGCCACTAAAAGTCAACAATTGGTGGTTAAGATGGTTAATTGAGGTAAAGATATTACCTGGATTGTTCAACCAAGTCAAGACAGTTTTCTCAGGAGGAGAAGGAGAGGAAGAGAGAGGAGGCACACGGCCGAAAAGAAGTCTGGGGAGTTCGTTCCCAGTCTGTCAAAAACACGAAATCACGGTCACAGCAAAAAAAGAGGCTTGGGTGACGATTTGAGCTACGATGCCAACCCAGTCAGGAATCAAACACAGTCTGCACGTAGTAATCAGTGAATTTTACATTCTGCGCAGTAAAGGAAATTCCTGGTCGGCTAACTAAGGTCAAAGGTGTAATTTTCTTACCCGTAGTAAACCAATGACGATGTTTTTCATGGCGAAGAAGATATGAGAAGCCTTAGAGGTCTTGAAATCTTCTCTCAGAACAACATAAGAATTTTAAGAAAGGGAAAGAAAGTGAGACAAGATCTCAGGAACCGATCAGAAACCGATCGCGAGTCACTCCACGTCGGACTCGTTTGAATCATACAATCAAGGTGCTTCCTTGTTCGTGGCATTTTCCAAGGGAGGGTAATTATTTCCGTGCCTTTTCCCCCACTCCATCTTTTGGACTTGGTCCAAATTGACCCACATGAGAACACCCACACGAGCCAAAAACATTGCGGTAATCAAAGTTGTCAACGTTTCTTTTGATAGCGTAACATGCAACGCCTAAACCACACGCAAAACAGAATACAGTTCTGGAGTTCACAGGGTTCATGAAGAGTGTGGTCTACTTGTTGTAATCGCGATTCGTTTTGTTGTCGTTGTTGTTGTTGTTTTGTTTGTTCTTTTTTGTTGCACCTTCAGTTTGCGACAGGATTAATTTGAAAGGTTAAAGTCAGCGGCAGCAGCCCATGACTGGCAGTGAGAAACCGAAAATTTCTACACAGGGAAAGATAGTTACTTCGAACGTGACATCCTGTTTGAAGACGGAAAAATTTCGTCACTTGGTGGGGGTTTATAACTAGAGGGAAGGGGTGACGCGTGACGTTCTGTTGTCATAGTGCCTGTTTGCACCTTAGTCTACGACAGGATTAATATGAGGGGTTGAAGTCAGCAGGAAAAGCCCATGACTGGTAGTGAGAAACCGCAAATTTCTGCCCAGGGAAAAATAGTTACTTCGAACGTGACATCCTGTTTGAAAACGAGAAGATTTCGTCACTTAGTGTTTATCACTAGAGGAAAGGGGTGACGTTCTGTTGTCATAGTGCCTGTATCAAAGAGTCTTTAACAGCATGTATGTAATGAAAAGGTTTATATATTTTCAATCTTACAAGGAGCATGGTTTTGGTCAAAAAGCAGGAGAACACAATTACAGTTGACCAGCGCACCCAAACAAAACGATTACAGTTCAACAGCACGGCTAAACAGACGATTAGTGTCGATTAAAACACTCAACTGGATTTTGAGCTTAAATTTAAAGAATTAATTTCCGCCGGTTTGGTTTGATCAAGTCTTCACAATTATCATCTCAATGTGTTCCCTTTCTACCATTTGTTAAACATTTCCGGTACAATATTGGCCTGTCAAATAAATCTGCTCATACGGGAAAGTAAATTACAGAGAATCTGGTTTTAAATCTACTTGCTAGTTTATAAAGACACCCATCTAACCCAGGAATAGTCTAAGAATAGATATCACGATTGTGTATATTGGATAATATGGTCAAAGCTTATTTGATGTTTTTCCCAATTGAGAGGGCGTGCTTAATTTGCTCGCAATCCTTTTATCAAAAATTTTTTACTATCCTCCCACGGGAACTTCTTCAACCGCAAGCAAATCGATACGTGACTTCTTTGGCAAAAGGGAGGGCATAAGAATATCCTAGAATGTTTTTGAAGCTCAACTTTTTTTGAGGTACAAAGGAGCATTTTGTGACCGTCCAAAGAACGAACAGTGACATTGCTGCTCTACACGTGCTGTTTGCGAAGTTATAAAAGATCATTTTACCCTTGGGAGGGGAGGGAGGGGTGGAGGATTTTGGGAAGCTTAAATGATTTTCAGGGGGAACGGAGAGGAAATCAGTCGTCGTAAGAGATTATAGTGATCTCTTGGTCGCTGCTAACTGAGTAAGCCCCCCCACCCCCGAGATAAGTAATGACAGGTTATTATCAACCATTTGGAGAAGAATAAACTGTCGTGTTCCAGTGACAGTATTTCGAGTCAACTTGGGTTTCTGCAAAATTTACTTCAGCTAGAAGGAAACTTCAAAATATTAGCTCAGTAATCTGTAAAAACACAATTAACAACAAAATATCAGGTGACCAAGGATGAGGAACATTCAGAAAACAGATTGCTTCATGATAATCTTAAAAATTAAGGCTAAATTTTTCCTAAAACTCATGAAGCACAAACCGTGGTAAGGTTACCATGTCCACATTAAAATTTCGAGCTGCAGCTGTACTGATACGAACTCTCAAGCCTTGATTAGCTAACTCATACAAAGAGGAACTAAATGATCGAACCTCCTTGGTACGAAAGGCAATATATCATTTGAACTGAAACAACAGCTAAATTAGTCCAAAACGTTTAACTCAACCCTTACGTGCGGCAATCAGCTTGAAAACCACAAAAGGAATATAGATTTTGTCTAAGATTGCTGCTAAAGATTTTAGACGGTGATATTTGCGTACGGTGTAGAATTCTCGAAACTGCTTTATACCTTGTATTTCGACTTAAGCGAAGCATATCCGTTTTTTTATGCCCACACTCAAGACCTCTTAATCGTAGCTCCATTGTTAAGAATCACAAACTTTTAGGAATGCACTTTATCACGAAATAATATAATCTTTATACTCTCCCACCGACGCAGCACCACAGTTTCTTTAGAAACTTACCCCCTTTATTCATAATTTAAATTCGGCTGTTTTGCAGGTGCTGCTAGGATCCCAGTCTCCTTGCGATTTCATTTCCCTCCTTCCAACGCTTATTACAACCAGCCAAATCAAAATCCATGCAAGGAACATTACATGTCATTGTTAAATGCATCAAGAGTCTAAGTTAAACGACAAAAAACACTAATTTCTGTTTAATAATCGTTTATCATTTTGCTATAATAAAAAATGATGGTACCTTCATTTTCTCTCGTTTTCTTGAAGGAACTGTGAGCTTCATTTACAAACTTGCACCAATTTTTCTAATATTATCTCTTGATGCTACTTATAAACTAAGGCATATGTTGTTGAACCGTTTCTGTAAACTGCAGTTCAAGATGCTTATCTTTTCAATAAAAAATTCCGCGCTAGAAAATTTTCCTGCCTTCTCGAATGTAAAACTGCGCTTAGGCATGTGCTTCGTTCCCTTCTGAGTTAGAAAAAAATTTAAACAATTAAGTCGTTTACTTTGGAAAAACTGTCGGTACACTTTTTTAGCTACTTAGGTTAAGGCAAGATGGAAGCTCTCCGGCTCTCTCTCTTTAAGGGCTCTCCACTGAACGCAGTCAAGGCTTCAATATAAGGAGGTCTTAAAAGATGTTCAAAATCATATATTTCAGCCAGTTTAAATTTGTTCTGAAACAGGGTTTTTACCCGCTTTTCTACTCCTCTTGGAAATCAAATCATTTGAAGTCGAATTTTTTTCAAGAAATATTAACATAAGCGGCGGAGAACTAAAACGATATCTAAAAAGGGGCTAAAGATGATCGATATTTTACGCAGAAAAAGTTAAAGTTTAACGAGACAAATAGCACCAGATTTTTTTATTTATGATTATTTTTAGCTTAAAACTAGCGTGTTATCTAGTTTGGCACCCATGTGTCGTCAATTTGCGGTTTTAAATATATATGTTATATCGGCCTTGTTCTGATTTTTGCTGAAGTTGTACGTGACATTTAAGGTAAACATCAACCTACGTAACAAAGAGAGGGCATAGGTTGAAAACTTGTTGACAATATTAAAAAAGGGATGTGTAGCTTTTTGTATTGAAACTGTACTACGGAAACCGGTTACGTTTTCCCAGCCCACCCATTGTGGGAAGCCTTGCTTTAACCAAAACTGCTACATCAACAACAAACTGAAGCAAGAAAAGAGTGATAAAAAACCTAGAAATTGCTAAACAAAGTGTACATTTGCGAAATCTTCTTGTCCTCTGTGTCACGCACACTAAGCATTTAGGTCCGCTCTCAGGATTGACTGGTTTAACAGGTAAAACAAGTAACCACATCAAAATAACGACAAAATGAAACTATGTTGATGGTCAGATTTTTTTAGAAATAAACTTCTGTGTTGTATAAATTGAAACAATTATTTCCATATATCATAGGTGTTTAGAAATTCTAATTTGTTATCAGCCAAACTAGGAGATCTCTTTTAATACTACTAATCAAACCGTATTAATTTGGATCGTTTTGATAGCTTGTTTTTCTCCACGGGGCACCGTAGTTGCATGATTCGCCTTTTAAAACCAATCCAGCTTATTGTTTTTATGTTCAACAGATCAAGAACCGGAAAAAGGTGGAATTTCCTGCAACTTGATTTTATTGCTCGATGCAGACAGCAAATACAATAGAGTCGATACTGAAACGTGATGTTGTTCTCTGAGATAAAGGACTGATTACTAAATACTGATGCTGGCTTAAGTTAGAACCTTTCCGGTTTTTATTAAACATTATCACAGGAATGTTAGCATCTGAAAAGGAAAATAGTCGAGTTCACTGTGTAATTAGCTCGGAAAAGGACCTAGAGGATTCTAAGAATTTTCTCATTAGCTCGATTGGTGCCAATTTCACTCGGTATTAAGGAAAATTGTCTCTTTTCCTAATGTGGTGGGTGATCTGATGTTGATATTAATAAAAACTTACTCTTTCCGTCCTAAGATAAAAATATGTTTGTCTCCCGGCAGTGTCTTGATATCATTACTAAGCGAATGAAGCGTTAATAGCTTTTTTTCTCCCGAGGAAAACGGAAAAATAC